GGATAGTGGGGGGGAATTGGAGACATGTCGTCCATCTTTATTTAAAGTCTATGGTTTTAACTGAGGACAGATGAGCTGGACTTTACTGTCATTACTAGATTAATAGTTTCTTGTTATTTGAACTCCAGCCTCTCTGTGTGTGTCCACTTTGCTAAAGTGTTGTGCGTGATTGTTCATACATACAAGGTTTACCAGCAGCACCTCCACTGTGTCTGCTGTGCTCCACATCACTCACTGTGACCCTTTGTTTTTATTTTTTATGAACCACTGCCTCTCACCTTTGTTCTCTCCATCTTTTGTATTTGTCTCCGTCATCTCAACCTTTTGTACTTGTGCGCCTCGCTGCCACCCATCTTTGATCCCTTCCTCTATCTTTTGTTGCTTCCATTTTAACATGTCCCCATTGTTGTTGTTCTCCCCTCTCATCTGTCCATCCTTCCCTCCATCTCTCCTCAGAACTGTATAAGAGTCTCCAGTCAGGGTCGCAGGCTGCCTTACCTCCTCACTTGCAGCTTGCTTTCTCAGGTAATCTGCATTTCTCTTCCTCCCCCTGCCCTCCATCTGTCTGTGTCAGGTCGAACTGTTGTCCCCTGCTCAGCTGCTGTTTTGTTTGTGTGTCTTTGTGCTTGCTTCAGTGTTGTTGTTGGCTTTCCCTTTGGCTTGTCCTCTGTAGCCCTAGCTACAGTTGGTAAATCACTCAAACAACCACAGAGATATAACAAGTAAAAATTGTTGCAAAATGCCAACAAAGACAATGAAAAATACCCCAAAATATGGCCTAAAGTAGCACAAAGAGACTAACCACTAACCACTAAGAGCCTTTTACTTGTCTGTGTCTCAGGGCCTATTTCCCCTTCACCTGTCCATGTACTGAAGGGTTTAAAATTGATAATACACAATATTGATCAATACATTTTCTTTCATATCATACATGAAAATTACAGTAAATTTACTCGATTTAAATTAAGTTTGTTTTTATAAAGAGCACTGATAAGGATATGTTGTGAAATAAAACACACTCTCTGGTGGACAAACTGTAACAGACATTATTTCTAATTGACTTAAAGGTACAGTGTGTAGAATTTAGTGACATCTAGTGGTGAAGTTGCATGTTGCAGCTGAACACCCCTCACCTCACCTTCTCCTTCTAAACATGAAAAAGAACCTGTGGTAGCTTCAGTTGTCATAAAAACTCAAAAGGTTTTAGTTTGTCCAGTCTGGACTAATGTAAAAAACATGGCCCCTTCGATGTAAGTATAAAGTATTTAAATATAAAGGACCTTTTCTGTGGTAAAGAAAACTACAATTCATACAATTTAGATGAACCAAACTCGTGAAAACATCATGAGGATTAGTCTACATTAAATTTCTGCCAATAGTTCCCTTTCACCTAAATCGTACACACTGGACCTTTAAATTACGCTTTAACATACTACTAGTATAAAGTTTATACTATATACTAGTATAATACGTGATAGGTTGACAATGGGATTTGTCAACAGACACCAATACTTGTGTCTCTAGTTGACTATTTCAATAAAGTCTGATTAAACTTATTATTAAGTTATTATATTTGTTATTTTGTGGAGTGGTATGAGGAGGAGCAGTGTGTGAACTTGACCAGTAGATATATTAAATCAGTTGATGCTTCAGGCTGTTGGATCTCTTACAGGAAAAAAAAAACAATTTCTCATCCACCTGATAAAAAATCTGCGTCCTTCTTCATGCAGATGCGAACCAAAGCCAGGGAGGAGACGTGAAGAGGAAATCCCACTGACCAATAGCAGCGCAGTAGACAGACACCAGTGGGGGGGACATCAGCGCCTCGTGGACACATCCACCAATAAGAATCTTCACTTTGAGTGACACGATGATGTGGTATGAGGGGGGCGGAACTCCACTGCCTCTTTTAAAAACGGACCTATAGGAGAATCAGTTTATCCTCACTATAAGTGGCAACGATAAATTAATGTAACTGTATTTTCTAATCAACCGGGTATGAGAACAAGACGGAGTGAATGACGAGAACACTTACCTTTGTTCTGCTTATTTTTATTTAATTTTTTTGTCAACATGTTTACATATGACAGACCTTGATCACTGTGGAATGAGCGTGAGCGAGGTGGTGGCGGTACGGACAAGAGTAGTAGTTCGCTGCGTAATATAATTTGTATTTAAGCTTAGGTGAAGTAACAGGACTCTTCTTGCAGTACAAAAAGAAAAAAGAAAAACAGACTGAGTAATGAATTTTTATTTTTCTGTCTTTTGTCTCAGATGTGGGACTTTGTCGTGTCTGTAGAAATTTTGTTGGTCACCTCTGCTCCCACAAATGACTGTTAAGTAGTAGCTTAAATTAATATTGATAAATTATTTGTAATTTACACAGGGACAACATGTTATTGTGTGTGTGTGTGTGTGCGTGCGTGCGTGCGTGTGCTATAGAGAGAGCGAGCAAGCGAGCATTGAATTTGATTTGAATGCGTGTGTATGTACATAAAAATACACAATATACTGTTAATTTCTTTCCAGATAATTCTGTATGAAAGGGCAAGGACGTGTATCCCCTTTCTATAATAATGAGCGAGTGTATCTGATGCCCCTCTCTCGCTCAGTGTGTTTTTGGTGCTGTTTAATCACACTGGACCTTTTCTGGAAAAAAGACTTGAATTGAAAATGTTTCGGGCTCCTCTTCTGGAGAGAGGAGCTGCCTGTGAGAGAGGGGGAAACGTCAAGATTGTAGCCTACTTGAATTGCTTTTTTTTATTTAAGACTTTTCATTTACTTTCTCTGCTTATTAACTCAAACCAACTAAATATAACACAACGCCTTAGTTTGTATTGATAAAGTATGAAAAAGATCTATGCAGGACTGTAAAACGCTCAATGCAAAAGTGCAAGTTGTCGCTTGGCTTTCAACCTCTACTCAACTTGTCAGTGCATTTTTTTTTTTTTTTTTTTGGAAGTTGTGAATGTTTGTAGATGATCTTACTGTGTCACTTGAGATTTCTCACGCGAGTTCAGACGGACTGTGAAGTGAGTTTGAGAAGCGGACCATTTGCACCCAAGATCACAGGAAAGATGCGATTAGACACAATGTGCAGTTTGCCGTGAAGACGTGTCTGTGTGAATCAAATGTTTCCGCTCAAGGGAAAATGTTTTTTTATGCCACACTGACAAGATAATGCTGCTTTTATGCCACGGCAGCAGAAGTGTGCGAGTGTTCAAGCATCATTCCAATATTTCCATGTCTGCGACTTCACAAGCTCACAACTCAAGATGCTGTGTCATGTAGAGCAGGACAACATGGCCTACAATTATTTAAAGATAAAAAGATTGTTTTCGATAATGTGACGATTAATGTCTTATCAAACAAATCGGAGGTCCATGTGTTTTATGTCCTCGCTGTGCTTAAACAATGCATACGCATTGATATATCGAATCTATTGTTTTACAGCTGAGTTAAAATACTGCGCATTGACAGTAACTGTAGCATTAAAAGTAGTTTAGTTCATATGTTAAGCGGCCATATTTGATTGTTTTCAGACTCTTCCTTATTGGAGCAGACTCTGATGTATCAGAGCTTTTAAAAAGAAAAGTCTTTTCCCAGTTGTAATTACTTCTGCTAGCTGACTAATGTTGTTTACAAGTTGTCACTTGTAACAAATGAAACTCTACATCATGTCTGCAGCATTCTGCTCGCTTGATCAATCAGCATATTTTGTTCAAGTCGTATAGTGACAATAGAATTAGCTTAACAGTCTGTTGATATGTTGGTAACAAGATTTTCACAGCGTTAAGCGGATTGGTCATCAGGAAGAAGTTGGAGATTCAAGCTTGTTTCTGAAGCTGATGATTCAGCTAATTTTACAAAAGTGAACACTTTTTTAAAATCAGGTTACACTTGATAATGAACTGCTAAGAATGACAAGTAGTCAACTTAAGGTTCAGGAAAATGTAAGGCTAAAGTCTGTTACGCGTGAACATGTGCATCCAAAGGTAGCAAAAATGGTCTGTGCGTATGTTAGTTAGCTTACAGCTAACATCCTCTCAAACTCAAAGCAACAATTTCCCTCGCCGTCGGTCTGAACTCCGTGATGGAGACACCTTCCTTCTGTTGAATACCTCTGTTAACAAAACCGTTCTTCCTGAGTCTCTCCTACTTCTTCCCCACCTCCTCCATGTATGTTAGACTGACCCGCAGTGCCAAGAACGACGCCAAAGATTGCTCCTGTTGTCTTTTTTAAGATGGGGTGTTGCTGGTCAGTGTGTGCGAGTGTATCTGAGTGTGTACGTAAGTGATTTGACATTTATCCCCACAACTGTAAACCCATGAGTGTCCTAGTGAAGTTGTGACTGGAGCAGTGGGTGACATCTTCTAAATTGTGCTTTCTTTGGGGGGTGGGGGGGGTAAAAATGACATTTCGTGGTTAACTGGTTGTTATAATTTAATTTGGTCTTTTGTAGATTATTTTTGTGTGTCAGTTATGAAATTAAACAAAACAGGTGGTTTTCACGACGACCGTTATCGACTTGTTTCTTCACTAAGCTTTCAGTGCTGCACCTGTTTCACATGCTTTTCATTCATTGGCTGGACTGCAGAGGTGGGTGGGGCTAGGTGGACTGGAAACACCTTCAGAGGGCGATAGAGGAAAATTACTCGAGTGTTCTTTTTTTTTTTCGTGCTGCGATTTCAGTTTCATGTTTCCTAGTTTCATGATTTCTTATTTTGAAGAAAAGGCATCTGTCTGCAGAGGGTGCTGTTGCTTGGTAGAAGTTACATAGTGTTGCTTTAAATATCAGAATTTACTTTTTACATTTTTAGACGTGATCATATTGTTTATTTTTCACTTTATTAAATGTCACTGTTTCTATAACAGAGTTTCTTCTCATGATGACACATTTAGTTTTTTATCAATGGATCTGACAATGATAATGCTTCTAAAAATAATCTTTAAAACCCAAAATGACAGTGAAGTGACATCACCCAGCACAGATTCTGCTTCTTAGCTCCAAAAACAAACGACAGCAGCATCGCAGCTACAATGAATACGTTTTATTTTCCTTTTACAAAAACAAAACAGAACAAAATTACCATCTAGAAATACAGGTATACTAGAAATAATAAGATGGGTAGTATTTGCAATCCAACGCCTGGTTGTCAACAGCCAGCTGGATTATAATAATAAAAGTTAACTACTTGAGGATGTTAAAGCTTCCAACCAAATGAAATCCTGTGCAGTGCATCTCTTCCCAAAATAACTTCAACACTTACCTGTGAGTGGTAACAGGAAAAAACATTTTTGTTCAAAAATAATTTGGGACGTGCAGCTGCCGAGGGGTCTGCTTCTCCTGTAGTTAATCACAGCACTTGCACTGGATCTAGCAAGGAAGTTATTATGAACATTAAAAAACACAGCGGATATGATATGAAGCACAGCAACGATACAAAAGAAAAAGTGTTGGATATACTTTGGATGTACCGATTTCATCCCAATAAGGTTTTGTTTCACATCTGTAGTTAAATATTTGCCCCTTTATGTTCCTAATTAGTGTCTAAGGCACTTTTAAAGAAATCTACAGTTAATTGTTAACATTTGAGTGAAGGGCAAAGGGTTGACCGGCCCAATTGGCGTTTTTGCTCAAGTTGTGAGAAAACAATAAGAGAAATTTCCTGTCACTACCTGTCTGTCAGGAGTCTAAAGTCAGGCTTCAACTCGCACAATCATGGCACAGACAAGCCCCATTGTGTCATCTTTACGTTTTATTAAAACAAACATGTCACAGAGCTGCAAATTAAAAGTTAACATCCAAGGGCACCAACAGCTCACCTGGTGGAGGAGGCGGCCATGTATGGAAGCTTGAGTCCCCCCCTTTTCCATTTCAACTCTGATCAAAATAGGCTTAATGCCCCAAAAATCTGGAAAAAGTAAAGAAATTTGAAAAACCAAAAAGGTTATTAAATTCTGTTCTGAAGTTATTTCTAAAATCCTAGACTAATCCAACCATCTGGATGAAAATGTATTCTGCACGGTAAAACAATTCAGCAGGGTAGTGCTGATAACAGAACTCCTGTAACGGTGTTGTGTACGGACTAAAGGATCAAAATCTATTTAGAAGAAATTGGAAATTTGAGTATCTACATCTCCATGACAACTTCAGCTTCAGCTCAAGAACGGCTACAGCACTAATGAACATGTGAGATTTTGTCAACACATTCTTTTCTACAAGCTATACGGCATAAGAGAAAGTGACATTGTAAGAAACAGAGTGAAAAGGAAAATCAGACCTGCTTTACTCAGTGGCGAGAGCTGAAAGATACAAAAGGATGACAGACAGATGCCGACCTGGTTGATCATCTGTAGCGGGCGACAGGCGGGACACACAAAGTAAGACTTCTCAGAGCATGGTAAAAACTTTATGGATGTTTTAACAGGTCTTTGTCCCGGTGGTGAGAGAGAAAGTGTTCACAGCTCTACACTGAGGCAACGGCACACAACACTAAGTTAGAGATCTTTATGTTGTGTAAAAATGTAGTATATATGTAGTGCATATAGAGTGTAGTGACCTATATACAACACGTATATATGGTATGTATGATGCTTTCATCAAATAAAATCATGCATCATATTTGCCTATCACATAACTCTACCTTGCAAGTTGTCATGGTTCTTTGGCTTCTAAGGTTGTCGGTTCATTTTCGGTCTGCTTGTCAACGAGTGCATGTGTGTACCTCTGTGCATGTCAGGTTCAAACTGAGATTTGTATTTAGGATAGTGATAAAAACGTGAAATACACCTTACCCCTAACCTCTGATTTGACCCCAGAGCCATTCTTACATTGTGTTGCTTTAACATAAAAGAAATTAACATAAAATTTGACATTTATTTTGTTTGTTTGAATTAGGAAATGGTCACAACTTCGAGAAAAAGGTTAAAAACCAGTTTCCATAAAATATTAAAAGTAAAACAAATTTTTGGGAGTGGTCTAAGACATCTCGTCCATCCTGGCTCATGTTCTAAATGCTATCATGCAGCAGATGGAATATTTTTTATCCAGATGGTCAAGGAAGTAAAAAATATGAAAAACAAACAAAAACACTTCAGAACAGAAGTTAAGAGCTTAACGTTTTAAATTTTAAAAGATCCACGGGAATTTATTGACTGACTCAGCTCTGTGACGTGATTGTAATAATACAAACTGTGACTCAGCACAAACACTGAAATGTAGTGAGAAGATCATTATTTTCAATCAGTCTTAATTTCTAATCAAAGTACACATGTAAATCTAAGCTGTAACTACTTAGTGTCACTGAGTGAACACTTTCCAGTAAGAGCTTTTTTTCCCTGTTGGTTTCCAGTTTAAAAATTCAAACATCTTCATGTGCAGTTCTGTGCATTTTCCAACATCTCCAGTCGGTCCAAACTGAATTATGAACCAGTGTGGTCAACAGTGCAGAGCAGTTAACCTAATGAGCTCTGAGATTCTTACTTAAAACCTCAGTGAGACATTCCTTCGTTAATCATTGAGATGAAGTAACAGAGAAAATAAAACACCTTTTTGTCACAGTAATACATTTTCAATTTAGTCCACTTTGTTGTATTGCAAGCCCCGAGATGTTAGTCGTTCCTGTAGTGTTGCAGTCCGTACATCAGAGGGGGGTGTTGTGATGCTGAGATACATGGCTGACAGATGAACCAGGACTAGCAGCTTGCTGAATGAGAGCAGAGTAAGGCAGAAATGTCCGTTTGCCCCTGTGACACTCCAGGCCTGGAGGTTTTACCTAAGGGGAGGGCGGTGGATTTTCCCTGCAGTGTTAACTGATACAAAAAGGGCAGAGGCGCTGCCGGGGCACTCTGCCGAGGATCGCTTGGTGGGGTGGGGGTGGGCGCAGGTCACAGGTGAATGAGGTGAACCGGAGGTGGGGAGTGATGAGGACAAGGGAAAAGCAAGGAATGTGTGGTGCTGGAATCACTCCGCGTTGGGGGTTGGAGTCTCGTTGAAGTCGCTGGCGCGGCTGTCAGCGTCGTCGTCTGACATGTCGACAGACGCACCGTCCAGATTGAGGTTGCGGCGGCCTGAACGGCCGGAAGAGAAGCTGCTGACTGGACCTCCACGCCTGGTCAAGAGAAAACAATTAAACATCTTAAACATGCATGCCACTTGTGGGTAGGCAAACAACTGCAACTGATACAATGAGTTGGGACTTTCTGCGTGGATGGTAACAACTTTATGGACGATAGCACAAGCGAGCACATGGAAAATAGTGCTGCACACAGTTATACAGCAACTGTATGGGTTTGAATAAAGTTCCACAGCACTTCTAGAGATTTCTGATTGGAAACAGAAACTTGTGTTGGAGTTCTGTGGAGTTGTGCTGCAACTATTTATTAGCAACTAGCAGCCAAACGCAGTGAATTAGTTGCTACACATGACACAACTTTAAACCACAGCTTGTTATGTACAGATTAAACAAAATACATGCCATTAATTATGGAATATTAATGGAGCTGTTACATTTTTGAACATTGGACAGAGAAAGAAAACCTTATCTGTAATTTTTATGCTAAGCTAATCGACTGCTAGCTCCTGCTTGTACAGACATGAGACTGAAATCAATCAAATAAAGATAATGCAGTTCGACACATTAGAAGTTGAGACACACTTCTGATTTGCAGACAGAATTGCATATCAGTTTTAAAGTTGCCTTTTATTATTATTATAAATGCATCTTGCTTCGTCATGCTTTTCTGATTTTGTTTAACTTAAATTTCTTTAGTGAACATGAATCCGCACACAGAGCTAGCAGAGTCCTCCTCGTACCTGAGGCGGTTCTTGAGGGAGTTGACCTCCCGGGTGAGACCCTCACTGGCCTCGGTGGCGTCATCCAGCTCCCTCTGCAGCTTCCTGCGGGAGGCGTTGGCCCTGGTGGCTTCCTCCTCTGCCTCCTCCAACTGACGCTTAAGCTGCTTCATACGAGAGTTGGCTTTTTCCATCTGACAGGACGATGAACATGGTGAGAGGTCGTGGATAGTTGAGTAACCATCCAAAGTAAAAGTGAACCTTTTTTGCAAATCAATAAGCTCATCATGAGTTAATACCTGCTCTTTGTACTGATCGGCATGGCGACGCTCGTCCTCCACCTGCATCATCACCTCCTTCAGTTTTTTCTCTGTGCGACGAACGATTTTGTTTGCTGCTGCTCTCTCCCTGGAATTTTAAATCAGACTTTCAATAACTTGCAAAACATGCTAAGTCTTCCCCAGAGGGCGCTCACGAGTACCCTCTACTGTCGTTAAAGTCAGAATGATTTTTTGGGACTTTAACATGAGACCTACTATCTGAACAGGAAATCTTAACAATGACTTCATCACTTCATGGACACATACTTGACTTCCTGCTCCAGCTGCTCCTCCAGCTGCAGAATCTTGGCCTCCTGGGCAGCGATGGACGCTTTAAACTTGGACTTGACGGTCCCTTCCAACTCTGCCAGCTTCACTTTCAAATCCTGCATTCATGATATGCAACCGTTAGGATCCAGAGCATTAAGCACGATCAAATATTTACTTTTCATCTGAAGCCATCCCTACATGGTGAAGGTCTTCCACAGTCAATGAGAACAGAGAAGTGAGCAACAGAACAGGAGATGTGTGCATGTAAAGAAATAAATGAGAAACTAGAACAAGCGCTGACCATCTGCTGCGGCAGAGATGAAGATGAAGCTCATTGATGCACATGGAACATCAGAAACGTTATGTTAAAGGTTGTGTTCTCTGTGTATTATGAGTGAGATGTTTCACTATGGTAACTGCGACCCTCAGAAACTGGTGAGTGAATATTCATGTGTGCAAATGTAACAAACTATACAGGACCTTGTTCTGTCGTTCCATCTGTTGTCGAGCGCTCTCACTCTTCTGTGCGGCGCTGCGCTCTCCGGTCAACTCAGTGTTCAGGCTTTCCACCTAAAAAAAAGAGAGAAAGGGTGTGAGAGACGGAGGCATGTTGATGTAGAGTCATCTACCTAATGTGCCAGGACAAAATTAGCTAAACTACAGACAAACTGTCGGTGAATGAGGATGTTTCAGGTGTTGGACGGAGATTTTTTATGAAATGGAGCAAAAGCGCTCGTCTGGACAGAGATTGTTCTAAGAGACAATTTAAAATGAAAACATATTAGTGTGGCTGAAATCTCAATTTACATTTATGCTTTCTACTTTTTTTCACATAAGCTAATTTCAGTTATTTAATGTGTGGTCACTCTACCTGCATTGTGGTTTTTCTGAAGCGGTCGTTGAGCATCTCCATGTTCCCCTGCTCCTCCTCCAGCTCCTCTTCCAGCTGCGTGATCCGAGCCTCCAGTCTCCTCTTCTCCTCCAGCAGCGACGACCTGACACACATTTACACAGATTACATTTCTCTACTGACTGCTGAATTCTAATTTACACTAAGACAGAAACAAATTTTAATGTGAAGATTTGAACAGACAAAGTGACACTGACTTTCCAGAGACGCTGTTGGAGATCTCATCAGCAAGCTCATCTCTCTCCTGCTCAGCATGTCGTCGGGCTCTCTCTGATGCTGCATGGTCCTACACAAACACACACAGACGCACAAAGTAATTTATTCCACCATTTTGTTATCTCCCATGCTTGTCGGGTATAAATGTCAGAACATCAGATATAATCAGCTGATCTCTAGTTGATAAAAGTAAAAATCAGGATCTCCACCTCCTGTAGCTGTAAGATTTCAGCCTCTAGACTCTTGAGTTTCTTCTCGTTCTCTTTGGACTGGGTGAAGATCTCATCTCTGGAGGCTCTAGCATCCTCCAGCTCCCTCTGATAGTCCTTCATCTGAGCCTGCAGGAGAACACAGACAACGTGGAGCACAGAGATAAGAAAACAGAGCTGCTGAAAGTAGTTTTTAGCTCTACCATCAGAAACACATTTTACATTTTATGATGCATGAGGAGTGAAGCAGGGACCAGATGTCTGTGAGTGTACCTGTAGTTTGCGGAGCTGTTTGATGGCCTCATCCCTGCCTTTGTTGGCAGCTTCGATCTGTCCCTCCAGCTCGTTCAGGTCCATCTCCAACTTCTTCTTGGCAGCGACAGACAGAGTTCTCTGCTTCCTCTCATCCTCCAACTCTGCCTCCATCTCACGCACCTGGAGGGAAACACAGAGCACGCCAGGTTAACTCCTGGGTTTCAGTACTCTTTATACTTATTTGAGGAGTCCAATATGTTTATCAGCCTCGTGTCCCCCTGTGTACCTGTTTGACCAGTGCCCTCTTCTTTTCCTCTCCCTGCTCATCTCTGGCCTGCACATCTCGGTCAAACTGAGCCTTCATAGCCTGCATGTTGACCTCCAGACGCAGTTTGGCATCTTCTGTGGCCTGCAGCTCATCCTCCAGCTCCTCCAGCTGAGTCCTCATCTCCTCCACCTGCTGCTCCAGCACACGCTTGGACTTCTCCAGTTCGTGGACCTGTTCAGTGTGAGGATACACAGAATACGTCAAGCAAATAAGTCACATGAAGTCAGACTGAGGGTCCTTCAACAACCACCATGGGCTCTCCACAGAGAACAACAGAGATGTAAAATAAAAAGGTGTCAGCAGTTTCATTTAGGAGGTCAAAGGTCACTCACATTCTTTCCTACGTCGTCCTTTGAGCTCATCAGGTCCTCCATTTCAGCACGGAGCTGCTTATTAAACCGTTCCAGTTCCTCTTTAGCCTCCAAAGCCTCCTCCAGAGCTCTGGCCATAGACAGAGCCTTGGTGTCCTTCTCTCTGGCCTCCGCCTCGGCACGGTCACGCTCCTCAGCGTAACGAGCTGAGATGGTCTTCTCCTCTGCCAGCATCTGTGCAGACAGAGAAACAGTGGCTATTAAACATCTGAAAACACTCTACAGCCTCAGTCTATCATTTCTGAAGGACTGCTAGAGATCCAGTGTACCTGGTCAAACTTCTTCTGCTTCTTCTCCAGGTTGGAGACGATATGTCTCTGGTGGTCCAGGTCCACCATCAAATCATCCAACTCCTGTTGCAGTCGGTTCTTGGTCTTCTCCATCTTGTCCATGGCCATGGTCTTCTCCTCCAGACGCTGGTTGGTCAGCTCCATGTCCTTCTGAAGTTTCTTCTTTGCCTCCTCCAGGCCCTCCATCGCTCCCACATCCTCCTCCAGCTTCTTCTTTGTCTCAAACAGCTGCAGGAAATATTGTTTAATATCAGTGAATAAGCACAAGGTCAAGTCATCATCTTGCTTTACTTTTTAAAGTTGTGGGATCAGAATGAAAGTATGATTTCACTCAATGAACCAAAACACAAATAAGGCAACATATCGCCCTTACTGCTAATATGTTGCAGCAGTCACATTTTAGACCAGGTTAGAGATCAATTTTGAATTTCAATTCTTTGCATCTTTGTAACATTCCTAATGTCAAGTCAGTTTAGGAACTGCCATTTTAAAGCCCTGAGTTTAGCATTTTATTTTTCGGGGGATGGTGCCGATTGGATGGTAGCAGCTATCAAATGCATACTGTGCTTTATTGTCCATTTTATTTTAAGTGGGACCATAATGTTTATTGACATTATAAATCAAGTTAATTTGACTATTGCAACCAGTGGAATCACCCTCTGCTGGTCATTTGAGAGAACATAGGTTTCAGGTTTTCATGCACTGGCTTTACTGTGGAGACCCACAGTCTGTCCATTTTTACAAACAGTCTTTAAGCTCACTACAGTCAACAAGCATAAATCGTTGGTTTGATAACCTCTAATCTCTTTTATTAAAATGACAGGGACACAAATGGCCAGAAACATGCACTCGATATCGATATCATTATTCTGAACAACACATCTCAAACTGATGAACTTTTATTTCTCAGGGTTTCTTAACTTGATGCCTCAATGCTTTACAGCTGCTCTGCATGTCAAGGGCAGATAATGGGCAGGTCAATGAGACTTAGGTTTGTGAATATGAAGAACTATACCTGAGATTGCGCCGACTGCAGGTGTTTCTCCAGGTTGCGTCGTGCCTCCTCCTCCTCCTCTTGCTGCTCCAACAAAGTGTTCTTCTCCACCTCCAGCTGGCGGATTTGGCCGCTCAGGTTCAGCTTCTGACGTGTCTCCTCCTGCCTCAACTCCTAAAAACCACACCACAAACAAAATGGATGAGAAAAGAAGGGAGACCTGTGTGTTATAATAACATTGAAAATCTCTGAAGTGTGATCTTTGTATTTATGAACAGATAAATAAGAAAATGATTTTCTGATAAACAGGGAAATCTTCCTGGTGGATTCATTGATTAGCTAGGAGAGAATAGTGACTTAAGACCTCCGTCCGTGTTTTGTGACAATTATAATTTCACATTAATCTAATAGCCATGATTGGAACTTTTGCAGTTTGTCTTCATAGAATCCAGAAAAAGAAAAAGATTATATTTTAGATCATGTTTTCTTTAGCTTTACACTCTTAAAGGAAGGCTGATGCTGATGTTGTCGTTCACACCTCTGAGTCTTGCAGTTTGCTGTTCAGGTTGTCAACCTCCTTGGTCAGTTTGACGCCCCTCTTCTCTGCCTCCTCCAGCAGTGCGCAAACATTGTCCAGCTCAGTCTGATAAAAGACAAATACAGGGTTATTGTGACTAAAGCACAATAAACTGATCCACAGTATGAGATGAAACTCAGCAAATGTTGACAACAATTTCAGAAAACATAGTTGTAGTCTTTGGAAGACTGATCCATCTAAAATGAAACACCTAAGGTTATGTCTAATAACTTTATGTGGAGGAGTTTACCTGGAGTTTGTGCGAGCGTTCAGACAGCTCTCCCTTGGTCCTCTCAACCTCTGTGGCTCTGGCCGTAAACTCCTGCATCTGGGACTCCAGTTTCTTCCTCTTGTGTTCCGACTCTGTCTTTGTCTGCTGCAGACTCTTCAACTCACAGGCCAACTCTCTGTTGTCACTCTCTAGACTCTGTTTGTTCTTCTCCAGGTTTGCCTTGAACTGCACAGAACAAAACAATGTTTTTATTCATTTCTTTTGTAGTAGACGGCCTGTAAAGAAGGTTTCTGTGGAATGGTCTGGATTTAGATGAGAAAAACTTTATTAAAATCACAATACTGAAGCTGGCACAGCCACTGTTTCTGACCTGCTGATTTATACAGATTTATGTCTGCAAATAAAAGCCCCTCAAGTAGTAGAAGGTAAACTTTAACGTCATCTATTTGAAAGTATTGAATTAAAGACACATACTTTTCAATGATAACTGTTAATGTTTCAGGACTTACAGATATACAGATGAGTACGGCTCACCAGAACTGAGTGAAACACTCTAGACATGTTCCTGGTGGCTGAATAGATTTTCTCGTATTACCTCCAGGAGTGCCAACCTGAGAAAGCTCAAAGGTAACCAGGCTTTGAGAAACTCCTGACTGTACATAGCTGAACACCTGCTGCACTTCTGACATCCTTTTTCAGCCCCACCTCATCTGTCATGCTGCTAGTTCACCTTGAATTGTTTTTCAAATATGTCACATTACAGAGACAAGTAATTTGGCCAAACAGCATGAATCCATGTTATTAGGGTAGATATCATAAATGTTATAAACTCTATGCTTGATAAATAAATTGTTGATATGGATAGATCATGGAAATCACAATATAAGGCCATCAGATCGGTAATCAGGTGGGACCCCCTCACCCTCTTGGCTTGGTCGAGCTGTTCAGAGAGTTCTTCCAGCGCTGTGGCGTGCCTCAGTCTCATTTCCTGGATCTGAGCCTCGTGGTTTTTGGTCTCCTCATCTATGGCCTTCTTCAGCTCTGCCACTTCTTGCTCTCGCTTGGTCCTGGAGATCAGACACAAAGGGGAGGGTTAAGGAGAGAGGACAACTATCAGGATATTATACAAAGACACATTTATTACGACTATTATCTTAGCTGAGCAATGAGCATGTCTTAGGCACTAAAGAGGAGCGAGCTAAAGAGGAGCGAGCTACAGAGGAGTGAGCTACAGAGGACCGTTAAGTTGACTGATGAAACAAGTACCTGAGTTCCTGCTGGGCGGCAGTGGTGTCCAGCGTGTCCTCTAGCTCCGTCTTCAGAGCCTCGAGCTCTTCACTCAGGTCCCTCTTGAGTTTTTCAGCTTTAGTTCGACACAACTTCTCGGATTCTAGATCCTCCTGAAGCTCCAACAGCTGGGCCTGCAGCTCCCGAACCTGCTTCAAGGCGTTGTTCTTCTGGACGGTCTCCTCGTCACTCCTGGTTTGAGACACACAAATGAGTTTTTTTTGAGCAGATGCTAATCTAATCATTTACTAATAGCAATTATGAAAAAAATCCTGTTTACATGGTCATCTAACGATGTGAATTTCTTCTACACAATTTAATATCTTAAATAAACTTAACATATTACCTAGTTTCAATATTTTACTTTTGGTATGAGAATATTTGTGGATATTTTGGTTGTCTGAAGAGCAGCACATAAAGTATAGTCTTATAAATTGTCACTGACACGTGACCTTAAAAAAGCTTTTTTAGGTTCCACATATTTCACTGTTCATATTGTTTACTTCAAATGTTTCCAGTGCTTCCACTACTGGCTGACAGGAGACACCAATATTCAGTTATTAACCCGATTAAGACAACAGTCTGTATAAGACACTGCCATGTTTCTGATTACCTAAACCCAAATAAGTCATATTCGAAATAAGTACAAATCGAATTGAGACCTAGAGTATTCTCACCTTTCTCACTTTATGGAGACATGTATGTCTTCACTTTCATTTCTCTTCTTCTTCATTTATAATGAACTATTGTTTTCACAGAATGTTGCAAAGCTGACATAAAGCAGTTATTAAATGCTTGTCGATGCATAACCTGGGTTTAAGAGTAAACAAGTAGTATAGTTCTTTTAGTATAGAATTTTTTTCTGATTGACAAACTGACAGTCGTTCTACAGTTATTTAAAAAGATAAATGAACCAAAAGTAGGTTTAAAATCAAAACTTTTATTCTCTGTACAAGTATGTTCAATGAAAGACAAGTCAGTGTCTTATGGTTTTAGTTAAAATGGAGTCCAAGTGAAGTTCTGGCTGCGATTCTCCAGTAACATTCCTCACATCCACAAAGAATCACTGCTCAAACACACAGAATGTTGTAATGATTCAATGATCAAATTAACATAGTGCCACCACGTTGATTAAAGGCACTAATTACTCCCATCTAAAAGTAATTCCCCATTTTCCAAAGAAAGACCAGTGCTCTCAGAAGAGCTGCTGACTTCAAACTGAGGCACATCAAGTGTAATGAAAGCTTAATTATCTGCGGCTGTGACTAAACTGATGATTTGTGCATGTGAAATTAGTAAGACAGATGTTTTCCATCAATCCCTTCAGTCTGGACTAGTGGCCTAATGAGGAGGAAAACTGAGAAAAGCCACATTAAAAAGATCTGAGCTGACCATCAGAGCAACAACCTCCACAGCTCTGTGGAGATGTGCGACAGCTAATGACTAAATATGGTTGTTTTGTTATTTTACGTAATTCTTATCACACTGATGTTTATTCAAGTGATAATTTATCTGTTAAGAAGACTGGCAAGCATGTGTATCAGCGGGACATTGATATGATGGCTCCAACATGTGATCTCTACTGTGCAGGCTCCAAGACATGTTTTATGCAATATTTTGGCTTAATATTGGATAGTAGGTGGAAGTGGAGACGCATCGTCCATCTTTATTTACAGTCTATGGTTCTGAGTGGGAAGACACAGGCCTTTTTCAGCCAAGAGACAAAAAAACGCCTAAAAAGAAAAAAAAAAAAAAGTCTTGTTGGTAGTTTCTCTTCCACTGTGCAATGACAGCATCAATTAGTCCAGCCCTTCATTGCTTAGTGTGAAAAAACTACTGCGACAACCAGGACTGAGAGCATCAGTTATCATCAATTTTCCTGTGATCAGACACGGCTGTCTCCGAGATGAAAGGTCTCAGCGAGAGTCGCTAAGGGGAAACACTGCAGCTGGGAGCAGTGAACAGAGGAACGCAGGGACGTACTGAGGAGAAAGACAGTGTGTGTGTGTGTGTGTGTGTGTGTGTGTGTGTGTGTGAGCTGAAACACAACTGCACACACACTACATCTGTTGAAAAGGATGTTAGCTGGGGTTCAGGGTTGAACTCTGTTTTGTTGTGCCTATTTATGGTACTCCTATTAGCTGTACCACCGTAGAGTGCAGTTGTCATGGAAATGGGATGAACTGCACTTGTGAGAGGATGTGTGTGGTGTATGTTACACACTGAAATGAGCAACAACACTGACAGCAGTATTTTAGCACACCAGTTTAGGTACTTTCTGACCGGGTGAACTGAAGAAGCCTTTTGGATGAGAGATGAAATGTTTCACTTAATCACATGATGTAGCCTCTATAATGGGTTAAGTTTGACACACTGTTGCAGAAACGTTTGCAATTACTCGTCAATAAAAACATTATTTTCGTTTGCCATGAAGTGTACGCATTCGGTACATTGGTGACAGGGTGCGTCTGGTGCATCTGGTGCATCTGGAAACAAGGAAAGATTGAGATGTACTGGGCGTGTTAGCGGCGGGGATTGACTTAACCAACCAGACGCAGTGTTATTGTTGCCTTATTCTTCTCTTTAAGGAGAGTGCGCACAGCGCCCAACTGCACTTTGCATGGTGCATCTTGGCAAAAAAAAAAAGGGCCCTATGTAAGTATGTGATAATTATAAACTGTACAAAAAGTTAGACTCCATCTGACCTCTATGATGCACCCAGCTGTGCTGAATGAGCGCTCGCTCGCACCGATCGTTGCAGGAATGCACAAGATTGTCTTTGTTTGTCGTCCACATTTTAGAGAATGGAATGAATATTCTACACAGTGAAGATGTATGATGCCAACCCGATCCGCAAGTCCATGGGTATAACTGCAATCCGTGCATCACAACTGTCCCAGCTAGTTTGTATGATTTTTCCTCCCTAATTTCACTTGTTTGTTTTTCTTTTTTTTTTAGGACTATGACTGACCTGGCCAGAGAAGCCTGCAGCTCCTCCTCCTTCTTGGTTAGTTGGATCTTCAGCTCCTCCACCTGGATCTGAAGCTCAGCGATCTGGTCTTGCAGGTCGGTCATCTCACCGTCTAGTTTACGCTTGGCCTTCTCAAGCTCCTGACGGGTTTTCTCCTCCTTCTTTAAACGCTCTGAACGGAGTCAAAAATCAATCAAATGTAAATGCAAAGAGTATGAAAATATATTATGTAGAATGTAAATTGAAATATAACCTTCTCTGAAGTGGTAAAAGGGCAAAGTCATGAGTTAGAGGGGTTAAACAGAGCTCAAGCGGTCACAGAAAGTGACACTTAATTGTTCACAGCCTGACACAGCTAAGAAGGATCAGATTACCTTCTTTGCAGCTCATTAAGTCATTGTACAGCTGTAAACAGTCATTTCACCAAGTTAAGGCTCATAGACAGTCATACTCTGTGTCCTATATTTGACCTTTGTGTCGCACTTGTTAAAAAAGAATAAAGACCTTTATTCTTCCTGTTGCTGCGAGGACAGTACATTTAAGTAAAGGTCTATACTCAACCCTTGTCTCCAGTTTCAAATGATGTGACTGTGCCTGTCCATCTTAAACAATCTACTGTGTCTGTCCTCATCCCTATGCTTCACATTCTTGGACCAAAATTAGTGCGAGACACAGCTGTAGGTCTCTTACCTTCCAGGTCAGTCATCATCAGCTCTTGCTTGTTCTTGACTTTGCCGAGGTTCTTCGCCTTTTCCTCCTCCTCAGTTAGCTGGGAAGTCATCTCTCCGATCCTGTCCTCTAGCAACTTCTTTTCCTGTTAGATCAAATCCGATAAAATATTTAAAATAATATAGGGGGGGTGAAAAGGTATGAATACTTGGTTGCTATTGCTGTGATACCATTAAAATTAAGGTCACCATTGATAAACAATTTTCTATTTTGATACTGCCACTGAAATTGAAAACATGCAATGTGTAAAATGTATCACAGGTTAAAACTTCTTATCTTCCCACATAAAATCTCCTCACCTTGAGGAATTTGGAGTTTTGGTCCTCCAGCAGCAGAATATCCTCCTCCATCTTCTTGATCTTTGACTCACCCGTCACTTTGTCCAGCTGCAGCTTCTGTCGTGCGGCTTCCTCCTCATCGAGCTGCTCCTCCAGATCCTGTGGAGAGAAAAACACACACATTTAAATATCCAAAACCAATCTAATGCAATTAGATCACAGTCTAAACACAGAAGTTTAAAAACTGATGAAACTCTGAGACAGAAAATGTTTTACAGAATTAAATCAGGATTTAATTACAATATCAAATATTTATTACTATATAAGAAACGGTAAGAGGTAAAAAAAAGTATATTAACACATAGGATAAAAATAACTGAAGGGAAAAAGGACATTTTGGTTTTGAAAGAGATACAAGGGCAAAAGAGCATTTTATACCAAATTAATTTTAAAATCAAATAGTTAATGGTAACACACCTGTGTGAACCTCACTCATGGATAAGTAAGGAGAGTGTAAATAAGATATAAACCTGGATGTGTGACTGCATCTTCTTCTTCTCATTCTGCAGGCTTTGGTTCCTCTCCTCCTCTTCCTCCACCCGAGACTCCAGATCATGAAGGATCTCCTCCAACTCTTGCTTCCTTGAGAGCAGACGAACTCTCATCTCCTCGGCTTCGGCGAACAGCTCCGTCTCTGCGTGGAGTTGCTCTGCTAAAATATTCTTCTCCTCAACGAGCTGTGGGGAGGGAACAGTTTGAGAAGATGCACCCAGCCCTCTTACCAAAATGATATTCTTTACTCTCTATAACAGAGAACATGATTACCTGTTGGTGTTTCCTCTCCATCTCCACCATCTCATTCTCCACCTTGAGCTGTCTCTCCTTCACCTTTATCAGCTCCTCGTCTTTGGCCTGCAGCTCCTCCTCCTGTCTGGTGACCTGTAGCAAAGGTTTCACCTGAGATAGATGGAGAAAGAGAACATAAAATAAACAAAACAACCTCTACCTTTTTTACGACACATAGAAGACACACCATTTTCTTATCACTTAAAGAATTACAGGAAACCAGTTGGGACAATAAGGCCTTGAATTGTTCATTGAGCAGATTCTACATCATCAATGTAAGATTTTTGTTAATAGTTCACAGCTGCATTTTACCATAATTTCTAAAAATATAATAGATCAATCTATGTGACCTGGAGAAACCGTAGAAAATCTATGGATAATTAACAAATCAAAAACGTAATGAACCGAAGTGAATTCAAGTATGTGCTAAAATTGACTACTATTAGTCTACTATTACTGACAGTCTAGTGATCAGCCTCCCGCAGCACAGATCATTTGTATTTTATAGGATTTTATTAGGGCTGCCACACTTTATTCTTTATAAATGTTGAGATTTGAACTTTACATTGTGATCCAGCAGAGGGCACCCTGCTACTTTACTTTCAGCTTGAGAAATGTCCTATTGACTTATCAGTGAACTAAACCAGTATAAATTGTGTTGTTGACTACAAAAATGGAGGACACTAATGAGCAAAGACGTCCTGAGCAGAGAATCTCAGCAGCACCACAGATGAGCGGAGCAGCGTGAAATGTACAAACCCGTCTGACAGCTGACTATTCAGCACACTTGCTAGAAACTCATTAAAAGGGATCACACATAAGATTTACATGCAGGGATAAGCTGCTTCCAAGTTAAAATTTAAATCAATAGAAATTAATCAAGTGTCATTTCAAATTAGTTCAAACCTGATACATTTTTTTTTAATGCTCTCCTCTACAAGGTGCAGTGAAAAAAGATCCAAAGTCAAGGTCCAATTATCTGATAGTTCTGGAGGTTTTCTTTCCCAGCAGCTGCTGTGAAAACTTACATTTACTTACTTACTGCAACTAAGCGTCTCCATCTTTTGATGAAGACCTTGTGAAAGACTTTGGTATTCTCCGTTTATCTGAAATTTTAAGGCCATCTAAACTGGGCATTTCTTGAAAGGCTATTTCCAAGATAGAGAGCGATGTTGAGCTGTGCATCATGTACATAGCATATGTGAACTTTGTTGTCATCGGGAGTCTCACCTTGGTGAACAGCCGCCACCACTGCCAGTGACGTAGCTTCAAGTAAGCCGCACAGTTCCTCTGGAGGACCTTCAGGGCACTCAGTTGCTGCTGCTTCTTAGCAAAGGCTCTAAAGCAAGAAAACAATAACAAACAATGAATCTGTGTTTTTGAAAAGTCTGCTATGATTTTTTTGCCACTTGGGGCAATGGAGGCAAGTTCTGGACCCAACACCGACATCATTTGAGAACTTTGAAAGCAGCTACTTAAACACACGTTTGAAAGGTTACGGTGCATCTGATGTGCCGTCTGATGAGACTTCATCAAATACTCACTCTCCATTAGCTCTGGTTTTGGCCTGAGCAACTCCTGAGAGACAAAGCTGGCTCTTTAGCTCCAGTTGTGTTCACCAGCAGTTCAATTGATGCTGGGTTGGTGGTTTTCAGTCAGTTTTTAGAGCTTTTCCAGTAAAAACAGCTGCTCAGCGAGGAGCCAAAGAAATACATTTGTGGTCAGCACAGATAAACAATGAGCTGAATGCCACAGGAGAGCTCCAGAAAACCCAGCTGAGATTATCTGGTGATAATCTGCAGGTCATTAAAAGGGGCCGTTTGTAAGAATTAGCCAATTGTAAGAAACAAGGAAATGCAGTCTTAATTCCTCCCACTCTTGTTCCCATGTGCCATAGTTGGCCGGTGTAATGGAATCATGGAGGGACAGTAAGAACAGTAAAGTTTTTACTGAAACTCTCGTCACGATGCATGTGAAAGCGTGTTCTGTTGGTCTGGGCTCACCCACATATTGTGGTAACATTCCTTGAATCAACCTAACCTCAGAAACGGGGGCAGCAATGGAGATGTTGCCAAATCTGCATGGACTGAGGACTGAAGTTTTCATCAGGTTTATATAACTGCTAGTTTGCTTCAGTTATCTTAGATGGACAGTGACAAATTCACAACCGGCAAGTCAGAGACAGGGCGGATGCTGATGATCGAAAAGGTTTTGAAGAAAGAGTGGAGGAATATTGCAGAGAGAAGATGGTTGCATTAGAGTCTAATTTCTTCTTCATCCTCTCACATACGATTGAGGGCAGGCTGAATACTACAGTAACTCACTACCTGCCACTTGAGGTGGTTTTATGAGACAGGATTGGCCAGGCCTAGCTCGTTAGCATGTTTCAGTAGATTACATACATACATAGACAACTTTGACATTATGCCATAACTGTTATTTCATCAACTGATCAGTTGATAATCTTGGTGAATTTTTCAATTTTTAAAATGAATAAACAGATATTGCCCCTTCAACAAATGACAGAAACATTTGCAGCATCACACACTGTATGAACAAGATGGGAACTACACAGAGGAGTGCTCGGACATGACGGATATGTTTCAGACCTGTCAGGGATGGTTTGAGGATTTGGGTCAATGTCTTTGAAGACATATTAGGTTCTCAAATACATTTACAGTAAATGTTCAAATCTACAAAAATACTGAATCTGACACTCACTTGCGTGCCAAGTATCCACGGCACACAGACTGGAAGTAGATGATAATGTCAGTGATCTTCAGGTCTCTCTCCTCTTCCAAGTGAGCCAGGACGCCTGTTCTGAAGAAGATCTTACTCTGACCGATACGGAACAGGTTGGGGTCCAGCTCCAGAGCGTGGATCTAGAAATAGGACACAGAGAGTGGTTGAGAAATAACCTCTTTGGACAGGGTTACATTCACATTTTTTTTACCTAAGCATTCCTCTATGACAAATCATAGCGTTCTCTCTGTATGTGGATCAAACTAACATATGGTTGTCGACATTTTTCAGGGATGTAGCCTGGTACTGTATTATGTTGTATATTCTGTACAACATACCACATCATCTTTTCTTAGATCCTTGATTTGGATTATTTACTGCATTTACAGTAAATATCAAGTAAATATCAGCCCAATTCTTAATCCCATCTTCTAAATTCTGCCCTGAAATCTGTGATGTGGAAATTCAGAGGTCTAAACCAGGCTAACTCATTAGCAAGTAAGTAAATGTGTTTAAAGTATTTGTAACTCTTTATATGTAATAGCTAATAAAAAATGAAATTCAGAAAACGAGCAGCACCATTCTTTCACAGGCTTGTTTTCCATCCATAAATCCCTTGGGGATTGCATTGGGTGTCAGAATCTCGTATCTATAAACAAAAAGGAACAGAAATGTGAGTTGAAAGTGAAGCCAATCTCTCCTTTGTGTAAAATGGATTTAAATAGTTAAAAAAACATCTTTGTTGTCTGCTACCTCTGCCTGAACTCCTGGAAGACGATGCGGTTGGGGAAGCCCTGTCTGCAGATGCGAATCCCCTCCAGAACTCCATTGCACCTGAGCTGGTCCAGAACCAGGTGAGGCTCCAGTTTACCAGCCTGAAGGAAGAAACGCATACACCATTAAGAACAGAAACGTATACATGAAGGATGTAGAGTAAAGGGCAAAGGCCATTTACTTTTCTATTCTTATTTTCTTTAAGTTGACAGGGCAGAATTACTGGTTTTCTTTCCACAGGTTGAAACTCAACCTTTCCTATATCATTTTGAAGTATGTACTTACTCTCTTCTCGTGGTTAGGGATGATGCAGCGGACAAAGTTGGGGTTGGTGTTCCTCAGTGTGGCCATGAGTTTGGTGAGCGACTCCTTGTAGAGCTGTCCCACAGTGCGAAACATGCCCTTTTTCGTTTTATAGGTAGCACCAAAAGCTGTCTCGTTCATTCCTGCCACCTGGTCCAGGCCCACAATGCGGTCGACTGGTAGGGGAGATGAAGAAGTGGTTAGAGTGGGAAGACTTCACAGAGGAACGGTGGTAGCAGCACATTAACGTAACATGACCACGTGAACATGGATGAAAGAGACATTACACACTATTGTCATTCAAAGTGTAGAGCTAACACTCACTTCTGTAACTATGGTGATGGAGGTTTTATGTTGTGTTACTTAGAGGGAAGCACTTTTATATGCAATATCTGCATTTTACTTTTTGTGACACACAACCTGCTGAGAAAATAATCTAATGTCGGTTTGAAATCTAAATTTAGCAACAAACCACAAACACAAGATATAAATATATTCTAAAACTAATCTTAATCATCGTAATATAGGGGATTTTTATATATGAAAATCAGTTTTCGAGACATGGTTACCACTACAGGGCTTAATTAATCTCAATGTCTAATGAGAAAGTTTCTACTCTATTCAGACTTGGACCAGAATAAAACCACTGAATGAACTGAAGTCATTTTTTATTGCTTATGAATTAACTTCTAAATTGTGAGATGACTGAATTTGTGGTTTGTCAAAGTTACACAGTAAGACTGGTGTTCTTTTATATATTATTTACTAGAACAAAAATCCAAAATTGTATAAGCCTGTCTCTTGAACACTTTGACTTCCCTCTTATGCTTCTATCACAATATATCACCAGAATTATACAATTAATAGATAGATAGATAGATAGATACTTTATGGATCCCGGAGGAAAATCAAGCATCCGGTGGCAGTAACATACATTGAACATACATTAGACTTGACTTATACTCATATTTAAATAATCTGGCTTTAACGTCAGCAGCATTATTCTTAAACACTGTCACAGAATGACCGAGCACTCAAGGGTACACAGCACACGCCTTAACACTAATAAATATACACAATGTCACTTTTTAATGTCCAAGCAGCAAATTGAAGATGTAAGTATTTGATGAGACGGACTACTGGAGTTTTAACTGAAGAGTACTCTGCCGGCTGTCTGGGCCCTCTGCACTGATGTCTGAGCTCAGAGCCAAAGTAAATACAGAGAACAACATCTGCTTTCAATTCCCTGCTACTGGGATCCTATCTGGGAGGGAGGAAGAGGGAAATTAATGTCATTAAATATCTTTCAGTCAAGCTTCAAATTCTTAATTTGCTCATGGATGTATCACATCACAGAGGAAAAAAGCAAAGATTCCAAACAGATGCACTTGATCTAAAACACGTGCTAAGGGCTATCGACCATACAAACACCACTTGACCAATATCAGCCCACAGACATACTGAGGCTACATCCATATTATTACATTTTTGTTTGAAAAATGCGTTTTCAAATTAAAACAACCTCTGTCCACAAGAGCGTTTTGGCTCAGTATCAGTTTTAATCCCAGCCCAAAATAACACTTCTGAAAACGCATATCACCATGTGTACCATGTGTGTACCAACAGGAAATCTCATCTCCTACAAATGTAAGCAGTTGTATTGTACAATGCCAAATTTAAATGCACAAAATCTGTCAGCAATGCTTGTAATTGATTATCTATGTTGTGTGGCTACACTGCTACCCGGGGAGGAGCCTGATGAATCAGCCAAGGCTATGACATGACCGAAAAAACCCAATTGTCATCATCTCCAAATACTGCTGTTTCTGCCAGTCCAGACTCAAACCAGGTGTATCCGTAGCAGTGTGGATGCTTTTCAAAGGAAAACGTAGAAGTGTGGATGTAGCCTGAGACAAATTAAAGCACATGGGCTGGAGGGAGCATCTGACTGTATCCTACTTGAACATATTTAGAAATTTTGCACTATGCTGCCTTTGGCTGAGACGAGCGAGCCATGCAGCCTGAAAGCGAATGGGGGCTATGATAGACACAGCACTGGCTGAAGCATGAACCAAATAACCAGATCTGGGCAAAAATATACCAATACACTTTGAAGAGGTTAACCTGCTTGGGGAGCACTTATATTTGTGGTACCACAACCCAACACTTGTTGATTTTCAGTTATTATTATTCTTATTTTGGCCCAGGTCTCCTACAGCATGACCCAGTCATTCACCTGCTGGCTCATCCAGACTAGTGACATTTTCATAGAATGAAGCTCTTTGAATGATCTGAATCTCTACAACACAGAGAGAGAGACAGGGAGGGAGGCGGTGTTACAATAATCCTTAGAAACCATAGATGTTTATGCCTGAGACAACAAGACAGCTGTTTTTTAGACTGACAGACGTTTCAATGTCTTCGTTAACTAAATAAGCAAACAGGTATGTACACAATAAGTCTATAAAATGACACCCTTGAGTATCTAGTGCTAGTGAAAAGGTGGCAGCTTACCGTCTTTCCAAAGCTCAGCTACAAATTTGTCAGTGGACTGATGCAAAAGAGTGGCCACGTTGTCGTTCAGAGGGTCCATGTTCTTCATTAACCACTCGTCTGCCTTGTAGTCCACCTGTAAACCCGTAGAGGTACCACTTAATGATAGGGTTTGAAACAACAATATTAGATAATATAAGTATAGTCTGTCTGATTCTGAGTTTTGATATGATAAGATATTGATGAGTAAGAATCTGAAAAATCTGGTGACAAAACAGCAGCTAAAGTTTGTTTATTTTATATTAACATGTCACATGAACTTTTGATGAAGATCCTCTATAGTTGATGTTTTTTCAAGAATTAAAAATCTTGTCTTTACATTAAGTTTTACTGTTGTCGGCATGTATGTGGGTTATGTAATTGCTAATAATATATATGATAAAGCAATAATGGAAGATGTATTGGTTCATACAATAACAGCAGTATAAAACAACATCTCAGGAAACATTCAAAATCAAATCAATCACTTTGTTAAAACCTTTTCAATTATTTACTGGAACAAGAACATAAATATACATTGATCAACCACAACATTAAAATTAGTGTATACCACAATCAGCGTAGATATCACATCAGCTTATTTACAAAAAAAGAATATTAGTTGATAAACGGAAAAAAAGTTATATGCAGTTTGAAATATTGAATTTGGTTACAGGCTTAAAAATCCAGGACTCTAACAGGAAGTTTGAGGGTTTGCAACCAATTACTGGCCAGTCAGGCGTAATGCAGCAGACACACAGATGTTTTTGAACATCTGGTGACAGAGACACTAAAATATCAATTCCACAGAAGTTATCTAAAACAAAATGTGTATATCTGAAGCATCATCACAACTAACTTAATATACAGGCGTCACATCTTGTTTGTAGTGGTGTACCCTTCAGAAATTATTTATTTTTGTTTCTGTGTCAACATTTTTTCTGTGTCGGGGTTTGTGGCGCTGAAGATCTTCTCCACAGCTTCGTTCGTGGAGCTCAAATCTCTGAGGTTCTGACTGATTGTGGAGTAAAACGACACAGTCCATGTAATCGTAAGCAGATGTGCTATTCAGCAGGTCTCGCAGCAAGACAAATGCTGTGTTCATCTATTGCATAACACCATTGACAACTTCCAAATACACTCCCATACAACGCCAAATAAATCTACCCAGAATTCAGTATTTCCCTGAAATCTCACCACAAGAGAAGCATGAATCATTATTTTATCTGAGCTCTGACAGATATAAACTTTTAACTAGCTTTTATCATTATTGCAGAAGAACATCATGCAGGAAAAGAGACATCTAGGAAAATATGATCTTAGTGTTTAATGGTCTTACACAGACCTAGCACGCTAAATAGTAAGCGAGTAAGTCATATTTACCATGTGCAAGTCTTCAAGGAAGTGAATCATTGCCTTAACTACAGGGCATATGTTGACATATTAATACTTAAACTAAAACAACTGAAAGTCTGAGTGTATATAGAAATAATGAAACATTTGCATGATGGAGTCATCAGTTCTATTAACAGCTATGACTATAAAAATGTCTCTTTTGGTCTCTCTTAAGTGTTTTTGTTTTTTTTTAGAAAAGAGTTTGACCTACGCTCGAAAAAACAAGCACCCTGAAATTAAAACTTTATCCTTCCTTAATCTATAATTTCCCGAAATTTATTGTTTCCCTTGAAAAGCCAAAAGGATTAGACTTTGAGGTTTGAAAAGAAGTGTACACACACACACACACACACACACACACACACACACACACACACACACACACACACACACACACACACACAGAGAAATAGTGTAAACAAACCAGCATACCCTGCCAGCATAGTGGATAATGCAGAAGTCGGCCTTGTCTTTGAGCTGACGGGGCTTCTGGAACTTGGTGTGTGTGCCCTGTTCCTGGATCAGCTTGTCTACAAAGGTCCTGTCTGTGGCCTTGGGGAACCAGCACTCTTCATCCAGCAGAGCCAACACACCTGGAGGGTTGGCCTGAAGTAAAAACATCGTGGGTCAGAACCAGATTTCAGAAAGTATGTACGATAAATGTGACACATCAACAAATCAAATTTCCTCAACAATACAAGCAGAGAGAGTCCAAAAAAGTTAAGTGAGTATTATTTTTTGTGAAATTGCTAAAGTATAGCAGCCCCTGGCTAAGTAGAGTTCAGGGAGGCATATCAAAACAATCTGACTCAATTGTTCAGTTACAACATAATGATCCAGACTGACCGGCCTCTCAATGAGGTCGATGCAGGGCTGTAGGTCCAGGCCGAAGTCGATGAAGCTCCACTCGATGCCCTCCCTCTGGTACTCCTCCTGCTCCAGGATGAACATGGTGTGGTTGAAGAGCTGCTGCAGCTTTTCATTAGTGTAGTTGATACACATCTGCTCAAACGAGTTCAACTGTTAAAGGGGAAAAACCAAGGAAGAACAATATGTTACTGGAAAGGTTCCCAACAATGAGCACAAATCAAATGTAGATAGCTAATTTCCTCTAGCTACAACTGGACATAGTCTTCAAAGTTTAAGAAAAACAAGACTTGAATCCAAACCTGGAAAATCTCAAAACCCGCAATGTCCAGGATGCCGATGAAGGAGGCACCCTGTCTTTTGGTTCTGTCTAAAGCTTTGTTAATGCGATGGACCAGCCAGCGGAACAGACGTTCATATGTTGCTTTGGCCAGGGCCTCGACAGCAAAGTCAGCCTGGAGGGAGCCAGAGGAGACAGGAAAGGAGAAGTGGAAAAAAAATGAATGGTTAGACAATATAGGAAGAGAGAGTGACAACACATCAGACAGCCTGATCCTCACGAGGAAATCTATACCTGGACAGATGGGTTCTTCGTCTTGGAGAGCCTGTACAGTATAACTAACGTTCTGAGTCAGACCTTCATTTATATCTCAGTCAATGGTTTGGGACAACAGCCATGTCCCAAAAGCTTTAACCATTATCATCAAAGTACTGCACTTAAAATAGCAATTAATGGCTAAAGCATGTAAATGGTTTAACAGACAGTACACTGAACTTTTTCTTGTGCCTTTTGACAGATGACTTCACTGTTTTGAACATCATTTGTTCTGCAATGATGTTTTTTTCCATCAATTGTTCCTATGAAGCATGAAGAGTTATTGATTAATCATTGTCTAATTGGGAAGAAATGACCAAACCCTAGTTGCAGGATTCATTTAAAAAAGTTTCCGTTCCTTGTTAGTGTAGCACATAACTGAAATGTGTGCTCATTGATTGTATCTTTGTTTCTTATCAGAATTCACATTGGGAGTTGTAAACATTTGCCAACTAAATGGTGAAGATACAATAAAAAAGCTTCCAATACTCAACTCTCCAAAATGAAATAAACTTAAATTTAAAAAGCCAAACTACAGTTCCATTTCTTTTCATTAAATAATTACTAGAACATACACAGTTTTAGTCAGTAGGAAAAAGAAACGCAGAGCCAACCTGCTCTTTAGTTTGTGCTTTCTGGACGTAGTCTCTTCCCACTTTGATCCTTGGTGACAGGATTGCTCTGGTAAACTCCATTACATTCATACCAAGCAAGTGACACAGCTTCTGAGCAGCTGGGAAACAAGAGATGGAAAAACAAAGAAAATAAAGTTAATTCAAAGTAGAATAAAATGCCAAAGTAAGAGATTTGAGACTATGCATAAACATTGCTTTGTCGACACAGGAAAGCTTTCCCAGTGTTATTTTGACACGACTGTCTGACAATTATGTCATCTAGCAGATATTCTTGCAAACTTATTGATCTTGCCACAAATCTTTCAAAGATGTTAAATTTTTATATAAAATGTGATGGGGAAAATGTCATTATTTTTCATGGCTGCAGCTTGTGGAAAAGAAGGATCTAGACTTATCCGCCAAGTCTCACTTCTAAAAAAAACATGCGCTTCAGGCCTTGCTTCTGCTCATCACATTTGCGGATATCTGGCTGAGCTGCATCACTGGTATTCGACTCAATCCCCTCCCTTTCTCTCTCCTTTAAGTGCCAAATATGGAGTGCCACATGTGGAGGAACTGGAAGGCTATGCCCCATTTCCTTTAAAAGTAAATCCTTATAACGATGTGGCTTAATGGCAGGTTGACAACGCCTGGGGAGAGGAAAGATGTAAATCATTGGTACCTCTGTTCAGTGGATGAGGTGCACAGTGTGAGGGAGGCAGGAAAAATGGGAAGAGATGAGTTGAAGTGTTATATAGGAGGAGGAAAAGGAGGAGAGCAGTGTCTTGACCTGTGATCCCCAAGCTACAGCATTGTGAAACACATGTCAAATGATTTCTGTGTGTGTGTGTGTGTGTGTGTGTGTGTGTGTGTGTGTGTGTGTGTGTGTGTGTATCTACCAGTATTATCAGGCATAGAGGCTTGGTCAGAGTTCCTCTCCTTTTTGAAGACAATGTTTCCAAACTGAAGCACAGAGGACACGACCTTCAGCATGGCTATAAGATAAAGAATCCAGAGAAAATCAAATCAATTTAGTTTCCCCTTTGCTGTGTTATTTTAATGGTTTAGATTACATACCCAGAATCTCCTCATGGCCGAAGCTCATGATGTGCATGGCCTCCATTGTCTCATGGAAGTTGTCTTTGTCCTGCTGTCCTGGGATTGGGATGTTGCCATTGGACAGGAAATGGTAGTTATTGAATCCTTCCAAAAGCAGGTCCGCTGTCCACCAAACAACACAGTCACTGTTATCCATGATATTAAATCAGCCCAAACTCACTGTGGAAGATTCTGATGAGACTGAGCTTTCATTAATTTTTATACATTGTTAGTAGTTAATACTTACTGAATAATATAAATGATATGTTACCCTTGCACATAAAGTAATTACACTGGAAAGAACAGCTGTAGGCTGTAGTTATGACAGACAGAGAAGAATAAAGAGCTCTTATATGGTGGAACTCACATCTGAGGTGTTCTCCAGCTCCAACCAGCAGCTGGTAGAAGATGTGGAAGGTACGCTCATCTTTGGCTTGACGAATAGCTCTGGATTTCTCCAGTAAGTCTAACACAGACTAGTCAAGGAAAAGATATCTACTTGGTGAGTTAGTTTGATGTAGAAACAAAATTCCATTCCTTCTGTACAGTTCAAATTGGTAGAGATTACAGGTTCAAAACTAAAAATCTAATTCAATACAAACAGCATATTTGTATTTGCAACACTCCTGACTAGCCTCTTTATGAGTAGTAAATTGTTTTAAAACAGGATACAGGTTTCAATATTGGCTCCAACAATGTATCCGGTGACATCAAAGTTGATCCGGATGAATTTCCCCTGTAGAGATCAACACAAGACAAATGCTCAGGAAATGCAGTCAAGTCAAGATAACCAGGAATCAATCTGCAACGTAATGACTCTCATTAAAAACACTGAGGCCCTTCCTCCATTAATATGAACTCTGATATAGATTTACAGGGCTGATAATTTTATTTCATACAGTACAAAATTATATTTAGAGTATTGATTGTAAAACAGCTTTGAATATTTAAAATATATATACTAACAGGCACGTGTGTCTATATGGCCTGTATGGCCAATTACTTACAATCAGTTTAATCTTGACTTGTTTTTAAAAAAAAGAAAACAGAAAAAGCCATGATGGTGCTGAGACCATAGACTGCATATAAAAATAAACGATATGACAGCTCTCCAAAAGTGAAGCCAAAGCTTTTTGATTGCACCCCGGTTTCTGGCTGCAGTAGAGGTCATAAACCCTGCCTTCTCCATGTTAGTGGATGGAACAAACCAAAAGTTTTTTTCTCAAACATGGTATCTGTCTTTAAAGGAAATTCTCATCACACTTGTTCAGCTCTTCTTCCACCAAGTCTGGTTGTAATGAATTATTTGAGGATATAAAAATGTGGTGAAACATCATGATTGACATCTGGGAATAACTTCATAGATTGGTCAAGCGCATCGAGCGACATCCTCAGTAGATTACCCCTTCATGAATATACATTTTCTTGACTTACAAATCTTGAGGAGTTGTCATTTTTCACTGTCTTGGCATTGCCAAAAGATTCCAGGATGGGGTTGGCTTGTAAAAGCTGACGTTCCAATTCCCCCTGAAAAAAAATTACAGCAGCACTCTGTTACTCTATGAAAGTTAAGTTGAAAAAAATGCAGAGAAATGAATTGTGATTTTTAGCAGACAACTGAAAAAGACATTTGTACATGCAGACACAGACATCTGAAGACTTGTGTTTTACACAGAAAAAGAAAAAAAGATTACATAACTCACACACACACATAAAGACAGTATATGGATATATCAAGAGTAGCATTATTGGAATATTTCAAAACTGTTTTTTTTTCAATGTTTGAATGTTTGTTTAACATTGGATATGAAACTTGTTGGCTTTTGACCTTCAAATGTTGAGACTTTACCTTTGGGCTCATAGACTAAACAATTGAGAGAGTGCTTTTGATCTGATTATGGTTATTGTAAAACTATATCTCAAACCTTCCAAAAACCACCTAGCCAACACCATTTTATCTTCTGAAGTATAGATGGAAAAGAAAATTTGATCTGAGTCCTGCTCTGAATGGGGACTATTGATGTGGTCAATAGTGATAGAGAAAACATTTCTGGGGAATTTTTCTTTTGCTGTTATGAAAGCCAGACATGCAATGTATCATGTCATGGGGAATGTGTCCACAATGCACAACAGAAACCCTATGTTTGGTCAAATTGGATGCTTTGAGATGCTGAATAAAATAAAGAATATTTTACAGATGTTTGAACAGGTGGTCCGCTATGTTTCCATCTGAGCCACATTGTGGGCTTTGTCATGACCACTGAATCCAACACGAAAAAGAGAGAAAACTATTTCTTCTGCTCCATTATTTCTCTTCTTGTGGCTAAGTGAAATATTTTCCCATTACGTCAAAAATCGCTGTGCTCACTGGAGGTTTGTAGAGGCCATTTTCCACAAAAAGGAACTGAGGAATCAGCATTTGGTTAGTATGTGAGACATGTAATGTGATCTGAAGTTGGAGAGCATGATGGGCTGCTTTTAATTGAGTTTCTGAGCAGCTGGAATGAAGCAAGGCTGAACTGGATAAACCTGGACCATCTCCAGCTATTAGATTAGAGGCAAAGCCCACAGAGGCCAGAGGATTTAACCCAAAAGCCTTTGTTTCTACATCAACACAGTCCTGTGGTGCAACTCAGTGGTTAAAATGGTTCATTGGCAACCTCTGCCCATTTGTGTGGTCTATTGTACGCACAGTGTGCAGATTACAAACACCAGGGGGGGTCCAGCACAGCAGCATTTAGAGGCTTGACCCACATTTCTATAGCAAAGTGAATATGTCAGACATCTGACAGCGTCAGAGCCGGCTCCTCCCCCAGAAACTGCCAATTGTTGTGCAAGCAATCTGACTCATTATAAGTCAACACTATAAATATCCAAAAGCTTCTGAAGCTAAAAAAGAATCCTAACTATCTCCCTCACAATTTTTTTTTGTAAACTTTGATAGCTACAAGTTTGTCTCTTATTAACGTGCAGCGTGTTTGGCCACAAAGCAGAGCAGTGTTTTAGGACAGGCCTAGTGCAGCCAAAGAAGATCCATCAAAACTGTACCACTAAATATTCCGAGGCAGAGGCCAGTCAAGGATGTTGTTCTCACTGCTCAACATCTGCTACAGGAGTCACGAGGTGCAGCAAAAATATTGCAAGTCGTGCTTTTCACCAGAAAGACAAATTAGAGCATTTCTTGGGAAAGGGCACCAAGCGTTTAGATCTAAATGGAAACAAGCCAATGCAGAGAACTCAGTTAGGCTCTTTGGGCTGATTCCTACTTTATGTAAGAAAGTCTACATCAAGTGATTAAGTTGAGCTTTCTTAAAAACCAGCACACTATTTCAATTATATTTAGCATAAATGTAGGTTAAATATCTGTGGTGAATCTATCTCTTTTATCTGGAGGGTTATTGTAAAAGAATGAACAGGCTTTAACAAGTGAAAGTTTAAACCAGCAGCAGTTGATTTCACTGTCTATAATGATATGCCTGTGAGCTGCAAAAAATTTTACGAAAAAAAGACACAAAATAAGAAAAGAACTTAATTTGGGCCATATCCTGTTTAACAAACTCTCTGTATGTTCGTGTTGGACTGGGTGATAAAACAATACTAATACATTTTCATCAATAGCAATACAACAAAAGATCAATATATATTTATATATTGTTTGTGCATTGTACAAGCACTGAAATTGATAATTGGTTTTAATGTTCTTGATCAGATTTGTAAAATGTTATCAGCATTTGTCATCATCTGCCCTTAATATCTGCCCATCAATTTCAACTTATGTGAATTTTATCTGAGTAACATTATTGTCCTTCTGGCCCAGCATGTTGTTAGTTCCAAGTTGAACAACAGTTTAGGCCGCTACAGTACATACCTCTTAACAGTATCATGTGATCATAGGTAACTTGATCAATGCCCAAATATGTAGTTGTATCAATATATAACACTACTGTTAGTAGTAACACTATTATTATTATATCTGATTATACAATTATAAAAAAATGAAAAATTATTTACATGTAGATGTTAAGTCAATAAACTGTATTTTACATAAACATAAATAAACAAGATATATCAGCTTCATCAAGCACATTAGTTTATTAAAAGACAATTAAAGCAGTGATGCAATTATTTATTAATGAAAGCAAAAGTAAAAGCAAACTATAGCATGTGGGATAAAGTGGATGGAAAGCATCTAAAACCCACAATCAGTGAATTGAACATGTATTAGTGAGTTATTCTGAGGTTAGAGAGTAGGTGGCGACAGAGTGGGTGAAGTGCCCCCTTCATATTGTAAGTGAGGTGAGATAGGTGAGAAACTACATACTACTCACATAAAACAGGGGTCCACTCTGTAGGATATGGGGAGATTCAATTGTTATTATAGAAAATAATAAATGGCATTGATGTCATGTAAACAAGTGAACCTGTAATTTACACTGAATATTTCTGAAATTAAGAATTAGTGTCACAATCTACAGCAGTCTGTCAACTGAGTTAGCAAAAGGTGCTATTATACTATTTCAGTGGTCTATGAATCCGGCACTCGATACCAAGATCACTGCTGGTGTCCTGTTGGTAAACACATAATTCATTGTCTGCAAACAGTATTCACGCCTTGTCCACACGTACACAGGTATTTGTATAAACACAGGTTTTTCTCCTCTGTTCTTAAAATGAAAAATCTCCATTCACATGAAGGGATGTTTAACTATTTTACTAATCTTTTACTCAGTCCCGAAAAATCCATATCTTCCGGGCTCTAATTTTCAGTAACGTAAAACATTATTTACATGTAGACAAAAAGCTATGTTTTAAAAAAAATACCAGTGTACTTGTGACCTGTGGACAGAGCCTCAGTCACAGGTGAGATGGCTGTAAGGACTACCTGCTGGGCTCTGGGTTCTAATGGGCCAGCACTGAGAATTACTGCAGTACTGAAGGTAAACTCAAACATAACCTGATTAGCTGATGCTTTTAGGACAGATAGGTGTGGCCACTAGTTCTGTCTGTAAACAGTGCACAACACAGATCAATAACACTTTCAACTGCACTGAATACAATCAGCATTTTTACCTTTATCTTTGGCAGAAAAGATTATAATGCTTCACACAACACAAGCTGACTTAATGTGTGACAACAGCTTAACAAACATACATGTGACTATGTTTCATTGAGTGTGAACCACATTAACAGCAGACACATTTACCTTATGTCACATTAACATAAAACACAATGTAATCTCAATAATCATGCCAGTTTTAAAATGTACTTACAACAGCATTGTGAGCCTGATGGAGAGAAAAAGTAATTTGTAATTATGCCTTTCAGGATTTAAAAAAAATAATTTATCAAGTATAATTAGTGAAATCCTTGGCATCACTGACACATTTGATGATCTCGTATTAGGCTCATACTCAACAGATATATTATGAGCCAAGGGTATAAATAATATTTATTTGAGTGGAAAATGTCAGTGTAGCATGCACATGAACATGGGTGTATAAAAAAGCATAAAGACTTGCCTGCAGTTTGACTGGTTTCGGTGACTCTGGCTGTTTGTTACAGATAAACAAATGCAAATTGTTAGATTGTGTGCACACACATTCAGTGCACAAAGTCATGTTGCCAACTATAGGTATTGATACTTGTACTGCGAAGCCCGAAACAAACCCACCCACCAGTACCTATTTCTAACTATTGTTTCTCCATTTGCAGCATTCTGAGGATTCACATGTGAGTTTTTATTTCTGTAGAAAAGCTTCGCTGTTTTCAGACATGAACTCTGTAAAGTTTGACAAATGAAGAACGCAGCAGGAGATTGTCTGAGTCAGACATTCAGGTGAGGGGTGCCGTCTGGGCAAATCGCGCCAGAGGCAGGACATGACATGTAAATTCTCACAGTTTCTAGAAAATGTCCAGAACAGCTGGCTTGGACATTTGCCTGCTCACAAACAGCCCCTCTGGAAAATGTCAAGAAAATGTCTGGACTCCAGAGAACGTCTGAAAGCAGCTTTATAATATATTTAGTTGTAGGGGCATATAGACATACCAACGTATGACAGTAATTCATTTTTCTGACAACTCCTCGAGTGATATTTGTATTCCGTCCCCTTTTTATGGGATGATTAGGTTACAACTTAAAGCCAGCAAAATTCAGTCAGAATCAGAGTCATGAATATGAAGAATACTCACAGGAATGTTGTGGTCTTTTCTTCCTTTGTGGGAAGAGGCAACATGTGCCAGGTACTGAATGACCTTTTTGGTGTTTTCAGTCTTCCCAGCTCCTGACTCACCTCTGAGACAAAAGAACACCAAACAAACAAAACACAGGCAAGAGAGAATAACGAGACATGAAACTTTTTAAAATGAGCCTTAGACATTTATACCCAAGCCACCAGGTGACACTGGATCAAACATGTACTGCTCTTATTTAGATTTTCTAGAGCTACTCTCCTTTGCACCAAAGAAAATAAATTATTCAGAGAACTCAAATTGGTTGTGGGCGTGTGGATAGTCAGCCTGCTCATAACTGCTGTCAAACAGTGGCTGTGGCATAGAAAAAACAGAAATACAATCATGTCAAATCCTCCAAGCCATGCAAAATTTTTGTGGGAGCAGTTTAGATTTAGAGCATACCTGAGGTTTTACAATAAATGCATACTCACGTACACCAAGTATGCGCAAAATATTGTTTTGCTTTCAGGCTGAGGGAGTGTGATGTGGCTGAGAGTTAGGACTGAGAAAGTAATGTGTCAGTGCTGTCAGTTTCATTGCTGCTGTGCACGAAGGGTAATCATGGAGGGATTGTGTCAGTGTCTCTGGTGATGGCATTGGACTGTCGGGTGTTACATTCTTCAGCTCCCCCAGTTCAGAAGACAAGTCATTTAAAACAGGGAGTGCTGAGTTAATCATGTTTTGTGAGACATTTTGTTTATATTTTATGTTTCCATACCAGTTTGCTATCAGTTTGTGTAACTCAGGGCCAAAACGGATTAAGCTTTGTAAAGTTTGTAAAAATTGTAGGACTATCCATTCGAAAAATAAAGACAACTCTAACTCAACTCAATGGACCACCTCCTTACTTTTTAGTGCTTTAAATAAATCCAACCCTAACCCAAAGTAAAGACATCATCAATGAAGGGGAACTATGTCAATGTCAATGTCCTTGTCTCAAGATAAATAACAATACACTTTAATGTGTTTTAGGCTTTTGTCTGTGGTGTTGAATCAAAGTGAAATATTCAAGTTATTCTGTTTGTATGTATAAACATGGAACAAAATAATGCTAACACTTTGCTATTCACACAGAATGAAGAACAGGGCTTTGGTATGGTTCCTCTATCTCTGGTATTTCCTTGGGGACATTCCTTTCATCTGTCGACACTTGTCACTGTAAAGATGCTGTTTGAGGAGCTGACATGCCAGACATTTCTTAGACCCTTCCGTTCTCAATTTTCTCTCAAGTAGTGGCAGTCTGGTCAGTGTTAGTGACACACATGTAAGAATGCAGGGGAGTAAATTACCAGTTACTTAATGTTTTATAGTCATTTAATCTAATTGAGACAAAAATGCTTGAGTGGAATATAATGCAACACATGATGCTATTTCCAAGGCTAGTGAGTGGAAATGCATGCAAATAATGAATGAACCGTGAACCTAACGTGGGACCTGGGAGCTTAAAATTTTAATATCAACAATAAATTTTGAGTGTTAAAAGAACAGCAGTTTTAACAGAGCATAAACAATTTAGGGCTTTTCATTCTCATGCAGCAATGGAATAGGTCTTCATACTCACGTGCAAAGAATGGATTGGTCCTCTCGATCTGTGAAGACAAGAAGAGGGAAGAAAGGCGATGAGGGTAAAAATAGTGTTACCTCAGCAGTTTGTCTTTGATTCAGCCTCGGCTGTCACAGGGTTTGAGTGACAACATCACAAAAAAAAACAACCCTGTGTGACTTAAACATCTTATCAGCAGGTTGTGGATTTGAAGGTCAAGTCGAGCTTAGTGCGTGCATGTCAGTTTGCGATCTAAAGCTTTTTTCTTCACAGCCTGAGACCAGTTTTTATTAGAAAAACAAAATTACTCTTCTAGGGCAATTTTTTTCATAAAGCTCAGACATCAAATCATTTCCCCACAAGTATTTCCTAAAATGTAATATCACCCAGAAAAGCAGCACTGTGAAGACAAATCACTGCATGGGAGAGATAAGGCAACTGTAATGTCAGCTTTATATGAGCACATAGAAGGTGCTGACTATGAGTGCAAGTTTGAGACTTTGTCGCCAGCCCATAATCCGATTTAATAAAGATCAACTTCAGATGACTCAATATTGGAAAAAACGTTTAAAGTACCTATTACTAGTACCTAGTACCCGTACTGTTTTATTAAAATGATTTATCATAACCATGCATTTCTCATTGAGTTGAATAGATTTAAGATTTGAATAAGTTTACTGTGCTTTTGGCATTTGTTTTGATATACAGGATGTAAACAATTGTAATGGAGCACATATAAAAATAAAGGCTTGATTAGTAAAATAGAGTTTAAAACAGAACATAGCATCAAACGATCGCATCAATCATCATTCAGTGTTGAGGCTACTTTGTGGTCATGTGGCAATAAAAAAGATAATCTAGAGGCCCTACACGGGAAAATAAGTGTGATGATGTCATGGGAAAACTTTATTTATACTCTACTGCCCCCCCGCCCTAGGGGTTAGGCCTCCTGTCCAGTCACATGGCTGACTGTCTGAATACTAGATAAAGGTCCTCAGACTCTTTGTACTCTGCAGACTTGATGCTGCACTGTATATTCACAGTTAAAGCTCTGACCCTGTCTCCTATCTTCATCTTTAGAAACAGTTTCAGTTTAAACTGATTTCAAATTCAATTAAGTAAAAAAAGATTAATTGTCTCAGTCACATCTGAAAATCCTTAATTATAACGATGCCAATAGGAGATGTTATAAAATCATCTGGCTTTATCCCCAAAAACAAAATGCAGCAGGATTTCATTGTAAACATGCAAGGAAGCAGAAATTAGCTCCTCAAAATGTGCTGCAAAGGAACATACATCAGATTAATTGTGCATCTACCCCATATTATTCAAGTTAAGACAGTTTCCTTTATCTCTACTTGATGAGCAAGAGTCTGTTTATTGAGGGGGCTGAGCTCACAGGCCATTAATACTGTAACTGTATTGCAGAGTCTGCATCTTAGATAATTGAAGCAGTTACGAGTGACTGGTGATTGGCAAGCTGTTACATTAGTAGATTGACTGAGGAGAGCTAAGCCATCAGTGACTCAGGAGAATATGCATGGCTGTGTAGTGATCATGCCAATTTCTACATTCACAAGTTTTCAAAAAAGACCTTGTGGTTTTCTGAAGTGCTTTCATACATCTCCTGGGAAAATGGCTGAAAAACAACAGGACCTTGTAAATGATGAAAATGAATTGAGCTTAATATTAAAGATACCAAAATATAATTAGTTGTGATTCGTTCCTGAATCAGTGGCAAACCACTCTAATGCAAAATGATCAGCCATCACATCCTGTGTTTGATTAAATAGACCTGCACAGGGGCAGGGCCAGGGGGCACTGGCCCTGCCCAGTTCCAGATTACTTTACAGTATGCAGAATTACCTCATGCATATAATGACACACACAAATGAAGGGTGAGGAAGTGAGAATGTGTTTGAATCAAAACTACATCTATTTTTCTTATATATTTACTTTTTGTTGTGAAATACCTGATAGTCCAAAAGGGAAAAATCACTCTGGCTGAACTGCTCACTTCATATTGGCACTTAAAGTCATTACCTCGAATGTGAGGAAACTTTGCCACATTGTGGGGGGGGTCCCTACTTGAAGCCATGCTGTAAATATTTTGCTTATTGCGTAAACGCAATGTCCCCGGCTGGACAGTTCTGCTGGAGGTGAAGGTTTCCTGGACTGAACTGCTGACTGGGTTCCTTTGGGGTAAAATGATGGAAGGTTATCTGACTGACAACACAGCTGGGAACAACCTGGGTTTCCTGGCTTCGACCAGGCACTTTCTTCAGTTAAGCATTGTAACAAGGGGGATTGACACATGCATGCAGCTAAGGCTACTCCAATCCTTCAGGTTCTCACCAGCCATGACGTCAACAGCTGCTATATGCATGACCCCCTTAGCCCCCACCTCTTTGACTTCAGTACTTTCACATCCCTATCTGAAGCACACACAAACACAACGCGGCTCAGAAACCTGTCTTCTTTATCGGGCTGGCTGCAGACACAGAGGAGACATGATCCCCTCTTTGATGGCACTGTTCGATTCCATTCACCAACTTGCCAGCACTGCTGCAACCTTAACAGCCTCTTGTCCAGACTGTAAAACGCTGATTACCAGCAGAGGACTCTGGTCTGTGCAGATGACAACTACCCAAACAGGGGCTGTTATTTCCGTACCTTACTTGATGGTCATAAAGACTCTTTTGTGGGTTTCGTGTGATTGGTAATGCTCTTTCCAGCTTCACATGACTCCATCATGCTGGAGGGTAATGAAGATTCATCTTTGACATATAATAGTATTTTATTAGCAGCTGAGAAGATTGAATTTCTCTTTTAATACCTGATTTTCATCTTTTGAGGGGCAAAAACTCAGATCATAAAAATAATAAGATGTTTTCAAAGTTAAAATAATGCATGCTTCGATGTGTTTCAGATCTACAGATTGAAAAAATAAGGAATTGTGAAAGGTTTCAAATAGAAAATGTCTGCGCCAACAGCTTTACAGAGTAGTTGTGAAAAATGGGACGATGTCTTGCAGCTTTGACATAAACACAGCAGCTTTGCATGTGGTGTTTCTTCCTATAAGGAAGGGGAGAAGGAGAGGGGGGGGGGGGGACGGGGAGCTGATCTCAGCTCACGACAGTGAGCTCATTGTGAGGCTGTGGCACGCTGGGCCGGCCTTGTGTCTGCCACCGATGGCTAATGCCTTTATTTAGAAGTGACAATAAAGGACAAACACTCACCTCAGACACCTGTCCTTCACACCTATGTGGCTGTTTACACATCAGCTAAATGTTTCGAGTAATAATGACAAATCAATGAGCATGATGATGCTAGGAGGAAATAGATCTTAGTCTTTGTGGAGTCTATGAAAAAAAGAGGTGTTTTATTGCCACTCATGATGTTTGCTTAAGTACAGACAGAAAGATATTAAACAAGTCATCAACCAACCATTATAAATGTTTTTTATAACTTAATAATTAATAAAGAGCATCCAGTCAACTGTAAAATGAATGAATTGAATCAAAGACCACATTTCCTCTTCAGCATCATACAGAGTGGTACTGGCATGATATCCAGATCTAAAAATTACTGCACTGGTTTAACATCACATGATGACCATGCATGCACGAGCACATGGTGGATTTCTTTGATAGAATCCCCTGTGGCAATATAGGATGGGGTTTTAAGCACAACTGGATGGAGCGGGTTGGGGTTAACCCTATCAACAGCAACGAAAACATTTGATTACTGATGATTTTTTAATGATTCTGGATTTCTAATGTCTGTTTGAGCATTTAAAAAACTGTATAAGGCAGAATAGACTTGATATTGTTTATTAGTTTAACACCTCAGAGCAGTTACACTTATGACACAGTGCCAAAGGGGCTTTAGTGACTATTAAAAAAAAGACTTTGATTACAATGTGTTTTCAGTGGCACAAACCAATTTTTACTACTGCGTAAGAAAACCATGTAAATCTGGACAAAGGGAGGGGACTATCCCTTGTCACAGGGGTATCTGTCAGTATGGTTTAGGTCAAACTATAAAATGATTTAAAACCTTTCCTCTTAGGGCTCTAATGGAAAGCAGCCCTGGTGAGGACAGAACTGGGACTGATAGTTCAGCCGAGGACTTACAGATGGAAACAAATGCAGTGGAGATCCAGAGAGTTTGGTTTCTTACATGGAGCATATTTTAGAAAGAAAGTAATGAAATCTGATCTGGAGATTAAGTGTGTGTGAACACTGGCTCACTCACTCAAGTGAGTGTCTACATTAGGTGCAAAAATAAATGAGTGAAGACAGCTTGAGTGTGGCAGCCAAATAAAGGTGACTAGAGGGAAGAGGCCAGGACATCACTGAGAAAGGGGAAATAAGCCATGCTGAAGGTAATAGATTTAATATACATAAGAGGAAGAAGAATAATTAAAGATTTAGAATTTAGAAGAATTAAGATGAATTAAAAAAGACACCAGGTGATGTCTGTACATGGGACTTGAATAAGAAAGGTAACAGTGATAACCAACAAGACAAATCATCTAAAAACTGCATGTACATTCTCTGCAATTTTTAACTCTATTCACTGTGACTGTTTTGATTTTAAGTCTAATAATTAGCTTCAAATGATTTAGTATGCTGTAAATATATTTTTTATAACTCCTTTAAATTAATATTGCTACTTGATACCATGCACTCAGCACTCAGCATGCTGTGAGCAGTTAAGTTAACATACAGATTATGTATGTACGAATGGACCAAGATTTTCTTTGATTGACTGTAGCCCTAAACTAAGCAGCTCTGGCAATCAAAACAACTTGGTGGGCTTTCTTTGAAGAGACATTTCATTACAAAATGTCAAAAAGGTTTACACTCAATCGTCAACTTGAGTTAAAATGCAAATTCCTTAAGAATGGCCATGCTGCATGGACATAAAACACTACCTCTGAACGAGCCGAGAATACTAATATTCAGTCATGCTCAGCTGTATGAATCAACATCTTTTATTTTATTGGAACATTAAATTAGGGATTCTGGTTATTAGTTGATTTAATTTAAATTAGATGAAATCCTTCTTAGAAGAGCTGTACGTCTATGTCTGTCTGTCTCTGAAAACAGGGATTATCTTGACGCACGCAACGTCTCTATGAGCTACTTAGCTTCGACACAGTCAAGATATACTTGTATTTAGACGTCCTCCTTGGGTATTTTTAGTCACCTGTCCAATTAGATTAGATTAAAATGGGATAGAAGCATTTTATTGTAATTATTGTTATATGTACAACTTTCAGTTACAGTTAATCTGTACCGAATCCCTAGCTTCTTGTGGTATCTTTTTAAAATATGGTAATGGATTACCTTTCCAAAGATTAGGAAAAATGTCCAGTGTGCTTAATGTGCTCTGGTGTGCCCAGGAAGAGGTTTGAGGTTGAAAGAGCCTTGTATTAAGCCTCAGTTCAAAAAGCTATTATTCTTTGCTATGAACATGATTGATGCCAGGTGGTCCAGCGTCTGCTGAGACTGTAGGCCATTCCGCATAAACATTCCCAAGCTTGTTTTATCACACATTCCTGACAGTATAGGTTACACTGTACAGTTCACTGAGGACTTCATGGCACATACTTAACATTCTTCAAACAATTAATATCAGTGGTTGACTGATAAGGCCAATAATATATTTTCTGTATTTCCCATTAGTTACCTTTATAGACTGTGTGAATCGCCATAGTCATAGCTGTCTCTCCATATTTTCCTAACGATCCAAAAACAATTTTTAACATCTCATACATTACATTAATAACATTAATAATAATAATAACTTAGTGTTTGGCTCTTCATTGTAGAGCTATGTGCAGCCCTATGGCCATCTCTCACTCTCCACCCTTTTCTCACAAACACAAAAAGTCTGTCATAGATGGAGAGTGGCCGTCAGCAGCACCGGGAGAGGTCCTGCCGCATCATTGGTCCAGTGGACCCTCAAAACATCCATTAGGTTTTTACCATTCTTGGCAACCCACCCAGCAGACCTCTGCATTTTAATGGTGGTGTCTGCTTTAGCTATGCACATTTCTGCAATGGACATGCTGGTCTCAGAAGGGGTACAGACCTGAGCATAACACTTGCCCTCTCTTTGTACCTGTCTTTCGGGTGAGGGGCATGTTCACTGGTCAATCATGATAATCAACACTGGCCAGTGACACAAAAACTTGATGAACTCGAAATTATTTAACATTATTTAATGTTTTATTCACTCCAACACAAAAATATTGGACTGTCTAGATAGATCTGAACTTTGCACACAATTTGTTTTTAATTTAAAAAAAATCTCAATATGACAGATACATCAGTCACAAATTAATTTGATATTTTATTAATATCTGTAATGGCGCCAACAAATGAGATAAGGAGAACTGCTTATTACTTTTAGGGAAAGCTTCACTAAGCTTGCTGGACTTGACCTAATGCCCTGATTAAACACTCAGGAGAGACTCAAGTAGGAGGTCTTTTTCCATTTCCACCAAAACAAAAGACCCCCACACACACACCCACACCTAGGGACAGTTGCAGTGCTGTTGATGCATGTCCACTCTTGGAATCCATCACAACCAATTTCTTCGACACATGTTTTCATTCAAGCAGCAGCATTTTCTAACTACACATTTCCAGATATGATAAAATTAGCTTCTTGTACGTCAGCGAGTTCACATCAGCAGAGCAGCGAGGGCAATAATGAAAAGTATGTGGACCTCTAATCAATAACAGATGTGCACCAAGTTCTAGAAGTCTGCCGACACACCCAGTCTTTGTTAGGTAACACCACATTTAACCTCCCAACAGAGCACTGACTGGCTTCACAGTAATGTTGCAGTAATTAACAGACTGCTGCAAGGTTCAGACACCCTTCAGCCGCATGTATGATTTGCCCATCTGCAAAGATCCGAGTGTCGTAAATTAGGGGCAACAAATTATTAGGCCAAAATGTTCTCTCTCTTTTCCAGATGGCACCACTGGAGGGTCTAAACATGAAGTGTGAAAAGTCTGGTGTTAATCAGTCAAAATAAATGAATCATTCTGAAATGGCATTAAAATGACATATCATATAACAGTCACACAGTTTATACCCTGATAATTATCTTTTTATTTCTTTTGTTTTTACAATCTATCTATGTTTAATCTATATAAAATGTGTTTTTAAAAAAGGTCATTACAATCTCAGGAGACCAATGTGTCACAGATTGATTTGTCCAGCTATCACTCCAAAACACAATCTTAACAAATTCTGTGGATGAAAATTACCAATGTTGGTTGATGACTGACGAACGACTAAAGTAATTAGTTGAGTTATTGAAATTTCACATTTTTGGGCGATTGACAAATCGATTAATAGATGTACTGTTTCAACACTATATTAGACCATAGCAGACAATGATGCAGCACTGCATTTTAACAATATTGGATTTTTGAATCAAAGAAATAAAGTGTCTTGATTTGTCAGGGCTTTAATTGGCTTTAATTTGCCCAAAAAATCCTGCAACCCCAAGTATTGACACTGAAAAATGTTGATGTCATCTGTGCAAGTATTAAGCTTTACAATGACTTTCAACTTCAACTTTCAACCTGAGAAAGGATAAAAAACACCAGTGATTATTTATACAGCTGGATATTTATTTATATTGACCAGGTTGCTGAAATGCTCAAGGCCAGAGCTGAGCAGCAGCTGGCCACCACTAATCCCCAACCTATAAACCTCCTTTTCAACCACAACTCTTAATTCTGATAGGATTGGAGTAGCAGTGCCAAAAAATGACAAGTCGGCCCTTTGCTCTAAGAGACATACACTAAGTGGATGCAGAATTTTGAAATGCTCGAGGGCAGAGGTCATTGCTTCATTCCAAATAAAGATGCAAGAAAATCCACAAATATGTGGAAATAAAAACAAAACCAACATGTTGACCATCCATGTCCATCCCTTTAAAAACATTAATAGAGAGTGTGGAGAAAAAAGAGGTGGATGCGACAATAAAAAACAAGCAGGACAAAATGATGAGCTGAATTCTACAATTCATGACCTGCATTAAAATTCTGTGTGGTAAAAAAATCAGGACTACATGTTAACAGTAAACCTTCCTGCTGTGTACCAACATGGGAAAAGCAAAGTCTAAAAGAAATGACGGGACTCTCCAGATTGTCACCAACCCACTGGTCGGCCCTCACAAATCACACAAAGGATCTATTGTGGAGTGCAATGGGGTCACCCTCTCTGTTCTCGCTGGTCTGATCCCAGTCAGTCACTGCCCATAGTGCCTGGAAGTTTGCCAACTACCAGGCAAGGATCTCTGAAGACATCATCCAGTGTGGACCGCCTTCATTTTCAAAATTGTATTTTCCAAAATGAATTAATATGAAAACCAGGGCAGAATGGACGTCACAGACAACAGCGATGTCAGCAGTTAATGTGTGACTTCAAAAGATTTAACCCAAATATGTAACTAGGAAATATCTGTAAAAACTTCAGAGCAGTGAAACCAGTCATATTTGTTGAACATTCAAAGCAATGTTCGGCACAATGTGTAAAAATAATGATGAATTTAAAACATTCAAAGCAATGTTCGGCACAAATAATAGCACAGCAAAGAAAGCAGACACAGTAGCACAGATAATCCAAGATTAAAACAATCAGCTCTTAATAGTATGTAGCCTGAGACACAAGGAGATAGGGACATACAAGTAAAGTCTCTTCATGTGATAATGAGACATTCAATTGTTTCACAATTACACAACACAGACACAGAAAACCCTTCAGAGAGTGATAATCCCATCATGTGTCCCATCATCTGTACATATGGTTAGTTGAAGCAACCTTTTAAAGGAGGATCAGCAGGCAGAGTGTAATTATGATACTTTAAAACCAACAGGCTACAATATAACAGAAGACATTTGAAACCAATACACTGACAGTCAATGATGTTTCAATGTCAGGTTTAGTGCTAATTCCTGTAAGTGTGGTGGATTGACATAATCAGTAACAGTAACATAGACTTACCTTGTAGCATGCATCTATATGCAGACTCTGAGATTGCGTAGATATGTGGGGGGATTTCATGCCTCTTTTTGCCCCTGTACATCTCAATGATATTCTCTGAGTAGATAGGCAGGTTTTTGTAGGGATTTATGACGACACAGAAGAGACCGGAGTATGTCTATAAAACGAAAAGAAAACATATAGTATTTCATTATCTATATGCATCGATGACAGTAAATGGACAATGACTAAGCACAAAAAAGACTCAGATCCTTTAAGTGGACTGTCATAGAAACCTTGCACTTTACTGGATGCAGATATTACTACCTATAAAGATAAAGTAGAGTTGTATTTCTGCTATCACAACAGTTAGCATGGTGAATCCAGAACAAAATATCAACTCATGTTTTGTTTTTTCTGCTCATGTGCCCCGCTTTCTGGTATGATCCAGAAAGCGGGGCACATGAGAGCTGGCTCACTGCCAAGCGTCCTGCAGTCTTTAAGACTCTTACTCCGCTCACATATCCCTTCCATACAGTATGTGTGACAGTGTACAGTATTTCCCATCTCAACATTAGACTGGTTCAAATTTAACCGGGCATCCTTTGACTGACAGCTGAAAGCAGATTAAAAGGCTGGAAATTTTCATTCACAACAGTATATTAGTGGCTCAGCTGTATGATACAGACAGACATGTAGACAGAGAGTGGAGGACAGGGTTAATCCCTGGCATGTCTGCTGCTTCTGGTGCACTCCACAAACTGAGGGGTTACTCAGTAAACAGCAGATGCTGTTGGATTAAGGCTCACATATCAATGACTGAGATCAGAAGTCTTGATTTTTTTAACTGATAAAAACTTTTGAATACATCACAGCTCTCTCGCCACTCATGAGCATGCTTTCTATTAAGATAATTGTTTCTCCCTTTACTGACAAGTCCTGCCGGACATGTTACTGCACAAATCCTCTTATCTGTAGTGTAGTCCTAACTTTCTACCACTCTTTTCCTCTTTTCACTGCATCCCTTACTCTTTTGACACTTTTCAGAGCTCTTTGTGTGCTTGGCCGGGCTGCAAAGCCACATTCTTTTAATAATGTTGTCTGTGGTTGGGTGAGTGGACTGCTGGGGGCCCAGGGCCTGCAAACACAGGTTGTCAAAATGGAACAATGGTGACATGACCAAAGCATGCTATGGGAGCAGAGTGGATTGTGGTTGTTTGTGTGTGTGTGTGTGTGTGTGTGTGTGAGACAGTGTGAGTGATGTCTAAAAATAGATTACAACTGTCACCTGGCTGAAGGTTGACACTACACATTCACTCACACAACACATTTGGAAATTGGGAGATTACTGCAATGCTGGGCTGAACAATATCTCAATACTGTCATTTAATGTCCATAACATGGCAGAAGTTTGGATTATATTCAGGTAAAACATTTATTATGGTAAGAAAAAAACAAGCAAAAGAATAATTTTGAAAACTGTAGTATATATAGCTAAGTGTCAAAATAATGATTATGAGATCATTCCTTAAATGAACCTTAAAATATGACTTTACAAATTCTGATTGATGAAAGGGGATTGACATTATAACTTTGAGACATTTATATATAAGAGTGACACAGAAAGGCTATAACCGGTGGAGGATGTGAGGTGCTGTAGCTCATGTGTGGAAGGTGGAGGGGAGATCACCAGATGGCCATCAAACCCCCTCTCAACCTCTTCCATGTGCACAGATGCTTTAGACACAACTCTGTGCAGCTACAGCAGAGATTTGTTACCCTGGAAACACCAGTCAAACTCTTTACATTGCTTTACATTGCTGATTGGTACTGACGTAACTAGGACTGATACTCAATATTTTCTAACTGGCATTGACTGTAAACATCAACTTCAGTTTGTAGGATGTACCGTCGGGCCACTGCTGTAATAACCCTGTCCCAGGCCCCCTACGTGGGCACAGTGCCAGGCAGACAGATCAGTGCTCCTGACCCAGCATGGGCCACAGGCACTGGGGGAGAGGGATGACTCAGCTGGCTGTCCTTGATGGTGGACCCCAGAAGGTATTTGGGGGGATTAGTGGTGCTCTGAGGGCAAAGGGGTTGGATGACTGAAAAACCAGGCATAACAAGACACCAGCCAGCGTGTTGTGGTACCTTTTATCAAAATGCAGAGTTTGCACAAAGGAAAGTCTGATCAGTCAACACCATCTAAAAGCTGAAATACATTTGACTCTGTGTGTTACTTTTAGCTGATAAATGGGTTTGAGGTGATAAAAACAGCCCTGAGCCCAGTACTCAGAGAAACTATGGCAAATAGACAAGATCTCTGACACAGTTAAAAGGCTTCCCAGCTGTCTGGAAACGTCCAAATAAGTGTTTTGCTTAGCAACAGGGCCTCTCTCAATGGGAAAAGAGGGAGAAAATCTAGGGGTCTCTGAATCAATGCCCTCCATTCCGACATAACTGGGCTAAGTGGGCTTTTACAACGTCTTTTCAAACCCTGAAAACCATGCAAGGATCTTTACTGATTTCCCAAGCAAATAAAGACATGCCTTTGCAAAAATTGACAAAACATTTAAGTAATTTCCAATCATGTCCAGAAGGACCATGAAGATTCTCACAGCTCTATATTAACTTTAAAGGTTCAGTGTGTAGAATTTAGTGATATCTAGTGTTGAAGTTGCATGTTGCAGCTGAACACTCCTCACCCCACCCTCTCCTTCCAAACATGAAAAAGAAACCGTGGTAGCCTTCAGTTGTCATAAAAACTCAAAAGGTGTTTAGTTTGTCCAGTCTGGACGAATGTAAAAAACATGGCGCCCTCCATAGAGAGGACCCCCTCGACGTAAATATAAAGTTTTTGAATATAAAGGACCTTTTCTGGGGTAAAGAAAACTACAATTCTTACAATTTAGATGAAACGATCTAGTGAAAACATCATGAGGATTATTCTACATTAAATTTGTGCCAATACATCCCTTTCACCTAAATCTCACACACTGGACCTTTAAATCTTGAGATGCATCTTAATATCACTGAATGTCATTTGATTAAAATGGCAAACCTGTCATTGCTGCAGGGGAAGTGTAGCATTACAACACACACACAAATGAATGCCAATAAATCAAATGGCGTCCTGCCAAGCCTTTATTAAAAATAATGACTATTAGTAATGAGTATTTGAAGAAAAAGGAAAAAGGCAAATGCACAAAGTCCAGGTATCAGAAACGGTATATGAAAGGAACTAATGTTATCGGAGCATCTCTAATTTCTACTGATGAAACCTTGCAGCATCATGATCTACATGTGGATAGTAACCAGTGACATAACCATGTGAATATAAGGAACTTATCACATCTAAATATGGAAATCCAAACCTTGCACTACTTAATTTTTTAAACTGAAAGAATATAGATCATGTTTCTCTTATGAATAGACAGAAAGACTGGTGCTGCAGAAGGAGGTAGGCACAATGACCACAAGGCTCTCAGCCTGGAGCAGCCACTCATCTTCCTCAGAATGTACACTCTGAACAACCAGTGCAACAAAGGATGTGCATAAAGTGACATCCTTATTACATCCAGTGCTGCTTTCTCCTCAGCTACTGGACTGAATCATATTTCATCACTAATCGGAAAAGCCAGGCATGATAAAGGACTGTATTCCATTAAAAAACATTTTCAAGCTCAAAATGTTTCTCATCCCTGCCAATCCATAAAAATGGTTATTTCCTATCTTCTAATGCAAATAAGTTATGTTCTAATGTAATTAGTTTTCAAGCATTATCACATTTCCATCCGCTGCCCTCTGAGTGGATGGGAGTCACGAAGCAGGTTATGTCATGGCTCGTTGCTCTGACTTAAAAGTTCATGTAATCTTTAAAAGCAGAACAGGAAAACATGCAGAGTCAGGAATGCAAAGGCAGCTGACCAACAGAGTTTTCCAGGCATGCAAATTAGAATCTCTTAACAATCCTTACAATCATTACTTTCACACTCACAAAACATGGTAATTTAACAACAGAAAAATTGAATGAGCATACAAACTGGACCAGGTTTAAAAAATGTGACCCTGCAGAACAGGAAAAACTTTAAATGCTGACATGGATTACCTGTAATTAAACATTAACACATTAAAGACATTTCCATGAACAAAACTGAAAAATATATTAGTTATTTGAGCTGTTGCTTATCAGCAAACACAAAGAACTCTTTTAAGGCAGTTTGGTTACAATGTGACTCAGCACCGGGCTCCCTGAGCTAAGAGATGGGGCTGGGGGGTAATTGAATTCTCTACTACACACCCTCAAAAAAAATGCTCAAAAATAATATTGAATTAAATAAATAAATACAAAAGATCATTTGTAATAACTTTGTTGAAGCTCATGTTGCAAAAATGCCTGATCGCTCATTGTTCCCCAAGTGAGAAATGGAACTGACTTTTAACTGTTGTCAACATGTTTACAAAGAGATAAGCAATGAATTAAGTCAAAGAAATTCCTTTAGAAACTCTTGTACAGTCTGCGTTGTGTTCACATTGTGACAAACAACTTCTGCTCTCAGGAGATACAAGCAAACCGATCACTTTTCTGGCAGGGAGCCATGAGTAGACAGTGACCACATGGCAGAGCTCATGCTGCTACACCTTGTCTGCTCCTAACATCCCCCACACCATGCTGACGTCAACAGGGTAAGCCTTTCATTAACGAAACAATGACTTATGATGTCATTGTTTTGTTTTGTTTAACTAAAGCGAGAGGCAAACACTAAATTATTAACATTCATTAACATTTGACTCTGTTGATGTTTACTATCTTAGCATCAGAACATACAATKACAATGTACCTCAGATTTCTCAGTCTATTATGTTGCTTTTATTGAATGTTTATGTTTAAGTCTGTAAGATTAATGGTTACATACTGATGATGTATTATTTCTTATTGAGTTCTCTTCCCTTTATTATGCTGGAATTCATATTTGTATCATATTTGTGCATTGTATCTATATGCAGTAATAATCATAATTAACACAAAAAAGAGTCACCATCTACATTAGTCAAATGACAAAAACACAAGTGTGTTAATGTTGATAATCAATTTATCTTTTAGGAATATTTTTAGGCAGAAATACCACAAAGCTGCTGTTTATTCCAACGTGGGAATATTTGTTACATATGAATTCTTTCTTTTTATTAATCCACCAAGGGACTTAATGCTTTATTCAATGTCATGGTTTCATCCATTATGCTTCCACATGTATCAGCAGTCAACAATTGTCCTTAAAATATAACGCAAACAGCTGATGAATAATATCCATAGCGTCTATATTCTATAATAATTCAACATGTATATAATCGGGTAACATGACTGGATAAGCAAATATTCATCCTACTTAAACTTTGCCAAGTAAAACCCAGTTTAGCCAAGTTCATGTCTGTCTTTGTGACTGGGTCTGTATGTGTGAACCCCTCGGCCCCTGTCTCCTCCCTGGGTGTCAAGTGTCCCACAAGCTCTGTCTGGACTATTCCAGGAATGCATGTCAGTAAGTGAGGCATAATCAGAGGGGATATCTGGAGCTTATAACGGCTTGTTCATCAAAGAACACTTGTTTCTGAGCCTCTTCAGGGGCACAAGTGTGAGATGCTATGGATATGATATGTAGAGATTTTGCTCAGAATGGATATGATGTGTTAAATAAGCATGCCACGTATGCCTGGAATAAGTTATTGTTGCTGACAGTTCAGCTCTCAACTATTACTGGGGAAATGATATTGACTGCAATAACAATACTTGATCTCTCTGTTTGTCTAAAATAATTTAATGGCAAAGCTTTCATTAATTCTTAGGCTGACAAAGTGATACATCACTTGAATTAAATTATCATTTACCTACAGTTTCTAGAATGTGAAATAAGATGATTACAATTATTTAGAAGTAATTTCATTTCTTATGAAATACTCACATAAATGAGGCCAGAATAGTAACGGTCTTTGAGGTTGTGAAGCACAGATGCCTCGTTCAGGCAGGTGAGTTCGGCCATGTCCTCCACTTTGCTGAACTTTGGTGGGTTCATCTTCTGGATGTCATCCTTGTTGACCACTGCCTTCTTCCCATTCTCTGCCAATTCCACCACCACCTCATCCCCACGCTCCTCTCGAATGCTGGCGCCCTCGAAGCCGTGACGTTCTGAAGGGATCCATACTAGCCTCTTGGCAGTCCAGTCGGCCTGAGCAGCCGGGTTGTAGACCACGGCGCGGTCCACAAAAAGGTACTGCTCTGGGTCCTCCTGCCCACTCCTCTGTGACATTGCTGCTGGGAACCAGAGGCAAAACACACTTGGCCACCTGTAGGGAGGAGAGAAAAAAGCTACATTTAAAATTCATGCAGCTGACTAATGTAAAGCAGTTCATCCTGTAGGGGAAAGATGAAGTCGTTTGCATGACAGACTTTTGTGCTAAAGCGGGTTTTTTACAACTGACATTATAGATGTCTCTTCTAATTTAACTCTTCAAGAAAGTTATAGGGAAAAAAAGCATCCTTGACAATTGATTTGCAAAATAGATCACAAAGGTCACAGGTTGGATGTAGGCTGAGAGTTTAAGGTCTGGTCTTGTTATTAAGAGTTTGACACAGAAAACCAACTTTGCAAATTATGCCACAGGCCAGTCCTCACAACAGACTCAAACAGCACAAACCTCTGTTGCCACCGATAAACCAATTCAAACAGTAGAAATGGAGTCGCTGTAACAACCCCAGACTCAGATGTATTTGTGAGAGGCTTTTGCCCACGGCACACTATATGGCAAAGAATCGTGGAAATGGAAGGAGATTATTGCTGCAATCATAACTTACATGTGCAAAGATGTGGCCTCAATTTACATGGTCAAGATTCAGGGGATTTGAAAGTGACGTACAGAATACAGAATACCCAGCCAAAATGAAATGTAAAATGAAATGCGCCTTTCCGTGTGGAAAGGCGCATTTCATTTCATATGTGTGATTATCTGGATATGAAGTGACCTATATCAGGAAACATCTCACAGCCGTAAAAGATGTTATAGCTTAATCTCCGATGGGTGAGGTGTTGGGTGGTAGGAGAATAACTTACATTATGACCATTACTAGTACGACGATTATTGATTCAAGAAGCTGCTACTAAAAGAGCTGAAAGTTGAAGCTGGCAGGTAAGTGCTTACATGACGATGCAGCTGCTCTAATGGCTGTTTAATGCTGGTGATAGCATTCAGATTGCATCTTAAACAATTGGAACCTGTCATATATCAAAAACCTGCATTTTTGGTCTCAAAAGCTAATGCCATTGTTTCCAAAGTTTACATGGTGACTGATAGTTATTATTGTATCACTGAGGAAATATTAGGGTTAGGGCATGTCTGACTGACTGATGGGGGGCTCTATTTATTACAGTCATTCATGGCGGCTGCTGCTTGCTTGTCATATCTCAGCAGGGGCTTGTAGTATATAAATACTACAAGTACAAAAATCTTGGTCATCACCCTCTCAGAGTTCCTTTGCATATAAACAGTATATACTATACAGTAAGTATAGATTTGAACATAAGAAATAATTATTGACCGTGGTGTAAGGTAAACCAATGCTAGTGTCTCAACCAGCATTCACAATAGAGGCTCCTAGATCATCAACTCTTTTATCCAGTGACAAAGTTAACATGACTGTACACTTTTTATGTTAAAGGAGCAAAGTATTTCAAATGTTCAAATGAGAGGATTTTATATCTAATAAAAAATAAATGTGAATTGAGTTTATTCTGTCTCGTCGTTGCGTTTATTTGCTGCCTGTGTTTAATCCACACTAGTCCGACAGATGTAGTCTGTAGGTACAAGCCTGGGGCCTATTTCTTGGAGCATTCTCCTCCCCTTCCACTTCCAACTACAGTTTTCAAAATCCTTCAGCTATGAGAAACAACACGTGCAACCTCAGAGCTAGAAACTTACAAGCTATAGATTGCAGTTTTTAACTAATATTTAGATTGTGCATAAATACATCTTTTACTGTTTTTAGTCATGTTTTCTTTGCAGGGAAGTAACCCCCCCCCCAACAACACTACTTTGCAGCAGCAGTGTCACTGCATCCAGGGCTTAGTGCTGCCCAAGACGAATGTGATTGCCTTTAAGAAATAAAGACTCGGACAAGCCTCTTTATACACTGGATTTTTGCCATGGCAGACATCATCAAATCCCCAGACACAGTTTTTAGGGGCACCACCACTGCATCCTAAGTGTAGTGCTGCCCAAGATAATTATAATTGTTCCAGAAATGCAAACAAACCACAGAATTTCTTCCTTGTACAATAATGTGTGCAAACTTATCTCCATAGATCTATATGCAAGACTAGGCCCACACAGAGTGGTGTGCAAGTGTCAGGCCTTTACACCCCCATCCCTGTGCATAACCAGCCCACATACAGTAACATCACCATCTGAGCCTCTGCAAAAACCCTGACTATGTTGTGTAATAAAAATAAGAGAGAAATCTACTTCATAAACTAAAACAATTTATTCAACATGACAAATAATTTTGGAATGACCTACAAAATGATGTGATTAAAGCTGCAATAACGATTCAATACCTAACAGTGAACTTTCATTCAGATTATTAATGACTGTGATCATTGATCACTGACTTTTTTCAACCAAAGTCCTGCTGAACATTTTGCAGGGTAAACATCTATCTAATCTCAGGTATCATGAAAACAATCATTACATTATTACAATAACACATTTCTCCAGACCTATGTCTCAAGCTGAATGGCAAATGCTTAAATGTTTGCATAGGACGCAATTACACCATTAATAACATTAATACCATTAAAGTCAAACGGATCTGGGATCAGACACAATGGGATAACTTTGCAAAACTTGGCACTTGATGCCCTCAACAGCTGATGCACAGACAAGTTTGACAGAGAGCGCCGGTCCAGCCTTCTCACAATCATCCAAACATACTTATTATTAGTTAGGAACAACCTCAGCTGATTATTGTTCATGTATATTTAACCCGTGCTTAAAGCAGGCGCTGGTGAGACGTGAATCTGGGTCAGGTCACGGGATGGGGGAATCAGTGTGGCTGCCGTGTCACCGCATCCCCTCACTCTGAGCTGGAAAACACACTCTCAACCCTTCACCCGACCGCAGACCAATGCGAATATATCGCACACCCCACCCCCCAGTTTGGATATTAACACTGGGTGTAATAAAAAGCTAGTAGCGGACTGATAAACCATCGGGCCAGGCCAGATAGCCGCATCGGCTACGTTAGCTTGCTAGCGTTAGCGCAAAGTTGGCGTGCTGTGCTTTCTCATCCCACCCGCTCGAAAAGATGCATGCACGGATCCAGCACCGAGCGGCCAACCGAGCGCTCACTGGAGGTCTACATCGGTGCTTTGCTTATTCTCAACCACCACAGTTTGGGAAATATAATAAAAAAATAACCAGGGGTCTGTGTGTGATGGGAGTTTCACAGCCTCCTCAGCCCCATCATGGGTGTGGGTGGCTCACAGACGTCTGGGTGGGGATAAAGGCAGGCGGACAATGACCACACCGTCTCACTGCAGCAGCTTCCACATCCAACTTTAAAAACACCGCGACACAAACATTACAGCAACTACCATCACAACAGAGCTAACAGGAGCGGCGCACAGGTCCCGCGGCGCCGGCTAACATTAGCAGGAGCAGACGGTCCTCCATCATTGTAAAGTCACGGCACAATAATCCGCTAGCTGACGTTAACGGTCACTGTTGCTAACCACCACATCCTGACCGGAGTGACCGGCCCGGGGCCTTCCCGCTGCACTCACCGCACACAGTGGAGGAAGGAGCCGTGTCCCGGGGTCGAACAGTGTCCAGTCGGTGAATGTGGCCGTGTCAGTGGGTCCGCTCTCTCATCAGTGGTACTCCCCCACCATCACACTCTCAACCGAACTCCTGCCGGTCACACACGGAGCTGCGCCGCACCGCCGCGCAGCTTTTTTGGTGTGGGTGGGTAATTGGACACGCCCACAAGCCAGATCTGAACTTCTATTGGTTGCGGAGGGCGACGCCTCGTTGCGATTGGTCCAAAAATAATTTCCATCCACCAAAACTTCAGGAAGACGCCGACACCTGCTGCCGCTGCTGCTGCAGCATGGAGCTTCTATTGTATAATATTCATATATATCTGCAACGATATTTGTATTCATTGATCCCATATAGACACATGTGGTTATAGAAATCATTAAAACTAGAACTACTGTATCCACATACATCACTTTACTGTAATCAGTCAATCACATTTAATTTGTATAGCCCATATTCACAAATTAAAATGTGTCGATATCCTCTGTCCTTGATCTCAACAAGAGGAAGGAAGACACATATTAACAGAGGAAAACAAGGTAGAAACCTCACAGAGAGCCACATGTAAGGGAGCCCTCTCTCAGGATGGACAGAAGTGCAATAGTGTGAATGAGGACATCAGCAAAATAACAGTATTTACAACATTGATTAGAAGAAACAGTTTGTAACATAATGGAAAGCGTGTCAATGTTTTTATTTTTTTTCATAAGAAAATGTCTGATAGAGATGAAGCGAGAAGTAATGAAAAATTAAGTAGTTATTGCCAATAATGGAAGAGTTTGTGAGTAGACATATTGTATATCAAGCAATCTCGTTTTAAATATTAGTGCACGATCAGGATCCAGTACCACCACTACCAGATGCCACCATGATCCACGATCCATCATCATGATACACGACCATCACGATCTACTATAATAATAATGTTATTTTATACCACTCTAACCTATACTACTGCTCACCATTCTGTGATCCTATATATAAGATTTCTTATTGTTTTTGTACTCACTGTTCACTATGTTTTTTCATTTATTTATTTATATATATCTGTATACATATGTAGTATATCTTTAATTTCCGCCAAGAGGATAATCAATCTGTTGAAGCCAGTTTACACCATATTGCATTTGAGCGTAGCACATATTTTCATTTGAATAGTATGGAGCAGAAAATAAAGTCTCTATTCATTGTACAACCAAAGCACACAATAAAATTAGGAGTGCTACAGCTGAACAGTGCAAAGAGAAACAAACAAAAAGACACAGAAGAATATTGCACCCAAGAGTATATGCACTGTAATAAAAACTTTGTTGCAGTGATTGCATTATGTTATATTGTTCTTTATATAAAAACTGTATATTTCTACAGCATTTGTCTTTTTCTTTTACAGTCAAAAGATATAAGAATAAGAAATATGTGACTCTGATCAATAGATCAGCAGACACTGGAGTATACATTTAATTTAACGAGCTGAGTCCCAGGAATCTAACATATATCTGTCTAATATAAAAATACTGTGTCCTTCCTGTTTATGTTTTTCATTTATTCAGTCAGAATATTTTACTTTGTGTAAATGATGCCCTCTGTAGCATAAAGACAGACATGACTGCTGACAACATGCAGGCCGGAAAAATAATAATTCACTGATAATGCCACTGTAAAACAAGGTTATATTCTTATTTTGTGAGTATATGTGCTGTTGTCCATATTTACAACCCTACTCACAAAGGAAATTGCAAAAAAAGCTGTTATTACTTTGGCAGACAAACACCACTGATTACAGCACACCCACTCATTTACTGCATAGCTCCTCTTCTAACATGTGACATCTTTGTGGCCTCTGTGTGCTCGCCTTGAGCCCCTTCTCATCCTCTAGCTCCAAAACCACACAAGCAACACACATGTTGTATATGTATTTTTAAATTTACTTATTCAATGCATTTAAACTGTGTTTAAAAGGGACGTCTCATGAGATACAAGGTCTTTTTTAAGGAGACCTTGTTGAAATAACAATGTAATAAAGTGTCACATGGTTACAAGTGAAACCACATCATTCATCTACAATATATTTGACAACATAGGGAGTTGTTTTGGTCTGGTTACACATTCAGTGCAGGACTATTATTTACTCAGTTCTGAGCACTAGGGATGGGTGAAGGTTAAATACTTGGTTTATTTATGTCACAGAAAACAATAACCTATTTACTGTTAAATTCCTAACCCTATTTAAATATATTCAAATGGACAAATCATTTAAAAGGAGCGAACGTCTAAAATGCACTAATTCTAACTGGTCACCAGATGGACCCAGAGTCCCACTGTTCCTGTAGCGCTGAAAAAAGTACAGTGTTGAGATGCTTTACTTAAGTAAAATTACTAATACCACACAGTAAAAATAATCAGTACTCAAATAATTTTGCACAAACAGTCCTGCAGTGGAAATACGAGACAGTATAATCATAAAATAATTTACGTGAATCTTTCAAGTGAAACCTAAAACTCAATGTAGGACAATGGCTCCTGTGACAACTGAATTATTAAGTATTTAATTATCATTACTAATAAATAAAAAATATGGGAAAGATTTACTGTATTTGGTTGGTTTGGGTGGAGCTATTTCCCAAATTTTGCTCTTCATATGGATCAACCTGCTAATTATTTTCTTGATGGTGATTGATTGATTTGTAAAAAATTGTTCATTTAATCCATAAGGGAGTTTGTTTCATTTTATTGGTGATTTTGACAGATATTGACTAATCTTGTAACGTAATGTAACAAAACATCATTACAAAGAGACAACTTTTCAGCTGTAAAATGAAAAAAGTGCAAATTTCGGGATGTGGTGTAAACCTCCCACCTCTGTTAATATCAGTTTTCATATCATTTTCAGTACCGTACCATTTCACTGGAGACATGCCTCCAATTATCTGCACTCATGTTTAATGATGTGTAGCAGACAGTGGAGGGCAGCAACAGTACAGCTTTGCCAACCTTCAGCTGGACAGAGATTCAGCTCAGGTTATAATACACACATACAGCATGATGATATACTGCTGTGTATGTTAAACAGTGAATCTTAAACTTATATTGTTCAAGAGAGACGCATAAGTGTCATGTATTTATTTGAACTCTCTTTTTTTACCCCATTTATCCTCTTTTGCCCTGTACATTAACTTCATATGAGCACCAGTCATACACTGTCACATAGATTCATCAGTCACAACTAGTAGCCTGAGCATATTTCTATCTAAATTTCATGTCGCATAGTGAGCACTGACACAGCTCGAGTGACAGATGCACAATGTCGGAGTGAGTTATTTCATCTTGCCTTGACGAGTGACAGAGTGACACCCTGTGTGGCGCAGAAATGTGCCATTTTGCGAAATGCTGTGACAGCTCCATCCCTCAATTGTTGGCTTCTCCAGTCGCCTCTGTGGCATAATAGACCTGTCATCAGCATCGTCCTCCACAATCCCTCTCCTGCTTTTGTCTAGACAGCAGTTTATCAAACATCTCTGTCTTTTTTTTGGAAACACAGATAAGAATGTCAAATGTAGCGTTTTCAATACCACTATGACAGATTAGATAGAGATAAATGTTTGACCTCCTTGAGCACTGTTTTTTCTGCACAGGTATAGATTGATGTTCTTTGTTGGTAAATCTCCATCTCAATAAGTAATCCTGTCAATCAAGTTCAAAGAACATTTATTTTCTTCTTTGGGTTGAAATTTATTTTTCAGGTTTCGATACTGTTCATTTTGACTGAAATATTGACGTAATTTCTCATGATATTGTCTGTTGTTCTGTGCTGATTTTGTAAGAATTCCTTTCAAAACAACAAGCATTTGAAATAGTCCCTTATCATTCTCCTATGACTTACTCAGTAGGGATGTAGCTCCCACTGAGGTCACACACACTGTATTATTATAGGAATTTGGGCATTTTAGCTGTCTGATGAGAGTTCATGTGCTCCTTGTGGTTATTTTAAACATTGATTATTTTGCTTTTAGATTCTAATATTCCTGTCAGCATGACCCAAGTTATGTTGCTTTATCTCAAGAAAATATGAGTTAATTGAAACCAAAAAAAATACAATAAACCAACAGACTTTACTTTCAGTCCGTTGGGAAAATCGCTTCGTCACTGGACTTATGACCTCAGTATTTCAAAAATTCTGGGTGCTGCCTCACAAATTAACAGCTTAGAATTTGATCTTTTGCAGCCACTGTTTTTCTATACTTAGATTATGGGGTCAATTTGAAGGGTAAAAATATGAAGACATACTGTGTTTATGTATCAGCCAGTGCACTGACGGTAACAACATTTTTATCTATTTCCTCTCCTGCCTCAGGTCACTCTCAGCATGCAACTTAACCTGCGTGCTGTCGGCTACAATGTCCACAGAGAGTTTGTGGTGAAACAGAACCACCTCATTGTGTCTGTGTCACCGTGTCTCAAACCGGGAACCTGTGTGTCTCTTATTTTGGAGCATGTGCCCTCTGATCGTGGCACCAGGTTACATGTAATCTATTATATATAGTATCTAGTGGCATATCATGGGAGAACATTTATGTTTAGCTAAAAAAGAACAGAAAATAAATCTAAAACAATATTGGTAAATTATTTTTTTGTTGTTTTTCAAGCAGTTGCTAGTTTGACTTTATCAAATGTTCAGATGTGATATTTTCTATGTGAAATGTTCTGCAAACTGCTTACATCTGTTCGAATTTCAGTTTATAGGCGTTAGCATGCTATATATGTCTGGTTTTTCATAAAGATCTCTTAATTATTATATTATATTGTTTCTTCACAATTCCCAAACATGTTGAGAAACACCATATCTCACAGTAATAAAGAAAGTATAAAAAAAGATTATTGGATCCTACCCCTCATTGAATATGCTCCAAACCACCATTCCTCAATGTTACAATGAAATCTGCTCAGTAGTTTTTTGTGTAATCCTGCTAACAGAAAGATAAACAGCAGTGAAAACTTATTGGTGCAGGAAATAAACAGTGAATATTAAGAAAAAGATCGATATGAATTATATGACATCTTGTATTCTAACATCTTGTGTTATGCTCACCAGTTGTACATTCACTCGTGGCAGCAGCTCCATATATGGTAACTTTAAACATATTATATAAGTCATTGAAGGTGATGTTGACAGCTTATTTATTAGTACGCCTGCTTTGCCTTGTGACAGCAGGTGACAAACTGAGCTGCAAGTGTTTCTGTCTTACCACAACAGAGAAGGACATTTTTCATGATCGTCATGGTCTGGATAATTCATTTAAACTTTGATGATATTGTTTTTGTTTAATTATTTATTCAGCTTTTATTTATACAGGAGAGGTTGAGGAAATGTTTTTTACGACACCATCTTGTTAATAGGTTAATAGAACAAATTTAAATAATGTGAAAACAATGAAAGGCGGGCAGAGATCCAGTATGTTCTTGAAGTTACAGAGAAGTATGAATGTTATGACTTTTAGGCGACATGGTTTATTATTTCATGCTGCATGAACAAGTTTCTTCTACATCAGTTCTGGTTCAGGGCTCGTGGGGCAGGTTAGACACGGGCCAGAGAGCCAGGAAAGATGAGATACGAAATAACAATTTTCAATAATGTTGTATCAGTACCAGTGGTTATTACATCTGTCAGACAGGGAGGGCCAGCCAACTTCCTCATTTAGAAAGTGGTGTGGTGTGTGTGTTGTAATTATAAGCAGTGATGAACCTGAGGGGAGAGTGGTAAATGGAATGGAGGGGAATCAGAGTGAAGGCAGCAGCGTGTCGATAGTAGAAATCGCCCTGAATTTAGAACTGAGAAGGAACCTGATGCAACAATCTTCTTTAGTCAGAGGATGGCTGGTTCAGTATAACGAGCCACGCTCACAGTTAAGCTAATACTAAAAGCACAGTGACTTAACACATCATTTAAGTTCACAACTATTAACTCCTTCAATTCTTAACAATGGTTTCTGACACTCAAACATACAATCACCTGGAGAGGTAGATTGGCTATGTCATTGTATTATTAAGCATTTTACTCATTTTGTATATGTGCATATTGTTTTTGCATTTATATGCTTATACTTGATTCTCCTATGTCTTTACTCTTTGTATAATCGTTTAGAAGTTTGTTTCTTTCATGTGCTATGTGCCTCTGTCCATGTTTTCATATGTCATACATATATGCCATTGATTTATCAATCATGGTAACTGTTTGTGTATGCTCTTCTGTGTTTTGTAAACCTGTGTCTATATGTCACTGTATATTTTATTACCATCAAGCTATGGGCTGCAGAGGAAAACTAACCAGCATGGTTATGTCTGGCACATTTACATGTTGGACTTACTGTAAATACACATACTATTCTTATCAAGCCAAGATATACTGATTTTAATGAGTTGGAATGCATATGATTGTCATCAATATCTGTGGATCTCTAGTCCAGCAACATTTCCTAGAYTTTTTTCTTATATATAGAACATCTTTTATCACTCATTTAAAATTAATACAATAATCCTTCAGTGTATTAAACCTGTATTCATATATTTTTGGCCAACATTGATGTCGCATATTAAAGTTGATAAAGCTACAATTAATATTTTCAACAAATGGGATGAAATGACCAGAATATGTGTAATGTGAAACAGGTTACCTCACCTGAAGTTATAAACAGCTCTGAGGAGATTTACAGCATGTTTCAGCTCAGTGTTTTCATTTTCTGGCCCCTTACTTTACTGTTTTGGTCAACTCACTTAAATCCACTTAACTTGTTAAACATGTGTGTTAAAAAGTCTATAACTGTGTCTGTGTGTTGTTAAGTTCTGAGTGCATGGTGCATATTGTGTTTATCAGACCTCCAACAGCTGCCTGCCACTGCTGCTGCTGTAATAAGGCAGATGACAGCAAGTGAGAGTGAACCAGTGGATTTGTGGCTGCAAAAACTAAAACAATGAGCTGAAAGATGCTCTGAAGAAAATATTTCATTTTGTACTCAGAAATTTAAGTCTTTTGTTAAAATGTTAATTAGACTTTTCTTTAATTGGATAGAATAAGCAACACAACAGACAGTACTACACATGCAAAGACAATATATTAAAATGGTAGTAATGATAATTATACATCTGTTTTGAATTCGGTATCTCTAAAAGAGAAACACATTCACACTTTGAATGTGTCAAGGCCTGCACACACACACACACGTACGGATGCAGTGTGTGTGTGCGTGTGTGTGTTTTCAGAGACCCTTAAAGCTCTCTCTTCTTTTATTTGTCTTGAGATTTCTCCAACCCCTCTCTCTCCATTACACATGCACTCTCTTCCTCAAACTCTCTCTCTTTCACGCTCTCTCCCTGTCTCTCTATCTCTCTCTTACACACATTATCACCCTCTCTCCTACACCCCCCCCCCTCTCCATCTTACACACTATCACCCTCTCTCTCGGGCACTCTCTCTCTTACACATTCTCTCCCTATCTCTCTGGCTCTCTCTCTTACACACATTATCTTCCTCTCTCTCACCCACTCCATCGCCCCTCTATCTCCCTCCCTCTCATTCCATCAGGTTCTCACAACACACACACACACACACACACACACACACACACACACACACACTCCCCATCTCCTCCAGCAGAGGATCAGAAGGAGGGAGAGTTGAAGTGACAGAGGAGCAACATCAGCATCACTGACAAGCATCTTCCTCACTGGGGGAGAGAGGGAGGAAGAGACAGAGGGAGATAAAGGTGGGAAGAGTGAAGAGAAGAGAAAGGAGAGAGAGGAGCAGTGAGAGGAATAAGTTTTTAGGTGGAGGGAGGACCAGTGTGGGAGAGCTCGGAGGGAGAGAGCTTGGTGGGTGGCATTGGGGGACTGGGCGCTCCATTCATTTCCCCCTCGTTTCTTTTAGACTGTGAGCGCTGCCTGCCTCCGCTCCTCTACCTCCTCCTCTTCTTCCTCCTCTCCTCTCCGCTCCACTCCTCTTCTCACCCCGGCTTTCCTCTCCCAGCTCCCGCCGTGGGGTCTCAGCTCTCCGTCTCCCTCCCCCCCTCCCTCACTCCCTACCTCCCGCGGGCCCTGCTGGGAGCCTCCGGGCTGCTGCGCCGCAGGAGGATGTCTCGCCGGGAGTCTCCGCCGCCGCCCTCGCCGCCTCCGCCGCCTCAGCTGCTGGGAGAGCGGGAGGACCGTCCGGAGCGCGCCGAGCCGCTGTCCGACGCCGAGCGGGAGATCATCCAGGACACGTGGGGGCTGGTGTACAAGAACTGCGAGGACGTGGGGGTGTCCGTGCTCATAAGGTCAGTTTCGTCAGGAGGTGCGACTGATTTTATAAAGCAAACATTTTTAATTCTCAGTGCGAAACACTGATGGAAAGAGATGAGTGGACACATCATTTAATCCTGTGTCTTTACTCTCAAAGTGAAAACTGAGGCACTTTTTTAAATTCTTCTTCTTTGATCGGTTCATGGGGGGGGCAACGTGATGTCAATGTGCATTATGGCCATTTACAGGATCTGCCTCTTCTTGCTGACTGCAATCAACAGGTCTTCTCTTCTTCTCTTTATTTAATTCATCTTCTTCTTCTACTTTGGTTTTTTGGCGGGTGGTTGGGTGGCAGGTGCATTACCACCATCTACTGCGTCTGGGGGGAGGCTAGGGCCCCTCACCGTTAACCCATCCTCCAGGGCATCTTATAATAACTATGGGGTCGAAAAATAAAAGAGTACCTTGTCCCCCCCATCCTTGGAAATCTTGTTTGTCTTTGAATCAAAGACATAATGAAGACCATGTGAGGGCTACAAAAGACAAACAAGTTAATGCAACTTGACGTTGGTAGCCACATGCTAAAAAACCAAACAAAGAAGAAGAAGTAGAAATCAATCTCTTGAAAACCCATATGGAGAAGGAGAACACACATAGAGTAAGAAGTTTGAAGAAGAACAAGAAGAAGAAAACACAGTAGATGGCAGTAATGCACCTCGATGTTAGTTGTCACGGTTTATTGGCATTGCCATCTGCAAATAAATAAGCTGCAGTGTATTAAAGGTCACTGTACGGGTGTCATACCCTGTGTCTTCACATGTAGGGTTGAGTTACAGATACATCACACTTAAAACTTTTAATCATAGAAGGCAGTGAAACACTTTAAGGCTGATATTACAATATATATAATATATTTAATTCAGGTTGCCCCATTAATCACTGAGTTTATGAGCTTAGTCTGTAAAATTGTTTGATACCTTTTTGATTATAATGGAGTCACTACTGACACCATGTTGTGAAGAAATAATCCTTTGTTACCTATATACTGTACATCAAGATGGACGGCATGACTGACCAAAAATTAAAGTCAAGGTGTCTGTCTTGCCACCTGCTGGATGGCTGCAGTATATGTTCCATCCTATAGGTTAGTGGATGGAACATGGGGCTCATTAAATAGATGTTTTCTGTCATGGCTCCACCCCCAAAGTCTGACTCCAAATGCACAAGATTGTAGTGTGCGGAGAAGTGTCGCACATCTTTATATTCAGTCTATATGTTACCACACCTTAAGGGATTTTTTGTTGTTCAGTGACAGGAACACACACACACAAATACACACAAACAAACAAACACACAAACACACACACACACACACACACACACACACA